TTAACTACAACACAAATGTTAACTACAACAAAACTGTTAACTACAACACAAATGTTAACTACAGCACAAGTAACTGCGCAAATGTCTACAAGACAGATGTTCTACAACACGAATGTTAACTACAGCACAAATGTTAACTACAACACGAATGTTAACTACAGCACAAATGTTAACTACAACACAAATGTTAACTACAACACAAATATTAACTACAACAAAACTGTTAACTACAACACAAATGTTAACTACAACACAACTGTGCTAGCACAAATGTTAACTACAACACAAATGTTAACAGCACAAATGTTTTCTGCAAATGTGCTCGCAATGTTTAACACAACTGTTAACTACAGCACAAATATTAACTACAACAGAATGTTAACTACAACACTGTGTTAACTCCAACACAAATGTTAACTCACAACACTATTGTTACTACAGCACAAATGTTAACTACAGCACAAATGTAACTACAACACAAATATTAACTACAACACAACTGTTAACTACAACACAAATGTTAACTACAGCACAAATGTTAACACAGCACAGATGTTACAACAACACTACTGTTAACTACAACACAAATAACTACAACACTGTTAACTACAGCACAATGTTAACAACAAATGTTAACTACAGCACAAATGTAACTGCAAATGTTAACTCACAAAAGTGTTAACTCAACAATGTTAACTACAGCACAAATGTTAACTACAGCACAAATGTTAACTACAGCACAGATATTGACTTACAGCACAAATGTTAACTACAACACAAATGTTAACTACAACACAAATGTTAACACAACACTGCAGTAACTACAACACAAATGTTAACTACAGCACAAATGTTAACTACACAAATGTTACACAACTGTTCTACAACAACTGTTAACTACTACATAATGTTAACACAACACAAATGTTAACTACAACACTACTGTTAGCACCATCACAATGTTACTCACACAGCTGTTAACTACAGCACATGACACAACTACTAACTGCGGCGACTGTTAACTACAACACAAATACAACACTGTTAACTACAACACACATGTTAACTACAACACATCTGTTAACTACAGCACAAATGTTAACTACACAAATGTTAACTACAACACTACTGTTAACTACAGCACAAATGTTAACTACAACACAACTGTTAACTACAACACAACTTTTAACTACAACACAACTGTTAACTACAACACAACTGTTAACTACAACACCTGTATGTTGAGTAGAAGATAACTGTATACTGGGCTGAGGTGTTAGGTTAGATTACATTGGAGTTTTTTAATCCTATATTTTTCGCCGGTGTACACGACGTTCTAAGCTGACTCAAAACTCAAGCGTACATTATTATTTAACGTAGTGTACATACGTGTATAACAATTATCATTGGCGTAAATATGGTTATGAAAATTGTGTTTGCGTTTAACGTGTGTGCGTTGGTGCTCTCACTGGTGTGGGGGACAGCTATCGGCAAACTCCTCTCTGACGACAAGCTTTTAAAATTCGACGATAAAAAAGTTGTTAATAAAATATAGTAAAAGTCTGTGATTTTGTCGCATTGCAAAATTCTCATATCCCCGAGGGAGACCTTGGTGCAGCTGCAGGTAAAGGAAAGTATCTCATTCGTTGTTTTGATGCAAGTGTGCAATGTGAGCAAAATAGGGTCTGTATACTTCATTCATACGAACCACAACAATTCGGTGAAGTTTAATGCGACCTACAAGATGCAAGTCGCAGGCCCTCCCGTGAATAAGACCATCGGGCCCGTCACCAAGACCTCTAACCAAGACAAGGTTGTGATAGCATTGGAAGTGGACGGAGCCTAATCCAACGTGACGTACACTCTGGACGTTGTTTACGCGCCAGGTGTTATCAGGACAGGCAACATACCTTATGAAGGATCAGGAAATTTCTAATACCTATGTGTTCTGCTGTATAGCCGTGCAGTGGAGTTCTTCTGGGGGAGAGGGATGCATGTAACCTTGGGCAATGATGTGGGCGACGAAGCCACGTATTCCATCATTGTCTGGGGCAACCCTGAACCCACGGTTACCTGGACAATTGAGAAAAAAAAACGCTTGAAGCCCGGGCAAACACACGGCAATTACAAGGCCTTCATGCCCACAGTCGTCACCGGAGGTCTCGCTAAAGAGTATCGTCTCAAGATAGAGAAGATGGATGTGTTAATGGGTTTTAAGGGAATTTCAGTTTTGGCCAAAAACAAATAAGGAGAAAATTTTCAAAAAATTCCCATTATTATATCCGGCATTCCCCTGTAAGAGAAACGAATGCTGGCCAACATGGCTCTCTCCGTGATTGGCGTGTTGGTGTTCAATGTGATCATGTTCCACCTAGCCCGCCCCTTGTTTTCCATGTGCCGCATCATAAGTAAGTTTTTCGATAAAAATAGCAATCTGATTGTGTTTCTCCTCTCATACATCTTACCTTTGGAATTGCCAAAGTCTGGCGTAAGATTTTTGATAGGCATGTTTTCGGGTGGTAGTCTGTGGTATATGGTGATAGTTAACGATTATACCGATCCTACCCTCCTGTTTACGATAGGGTTGGTCCTCGTGGTGGTAGTAGGTCTTAGCTACACCTTCTCCGCCAGGATACGCGCCCTCACCTTCCTCATGCTGATACTGGAACTGACTGGCCTGTAGCCCATTTTTACGACGATAAGCAGCGTCGAAGTACTAACAGCATCATTCGGCAAGAGTTTACCCAATAACTTTGCTGAGTGCTTCTCTGTGACGAAATGCCTTGTCGAGGCCCGGATAAATCTCTAAAAAGAATCAATAAAATCGTATCTAGAACCTGTCCTTGGTGGACTAAAAGCCATGAAGACGGGCATGGACGAAGATGCACTGATCGGCAAGACCCTCGAGGCTGAGACCGAAATAAGGACTTCGAACGATGTAAATGACCAAGGTATGACAAAATAATGGAAAAATGAATTAAAGGGCTCAGTGCGTGTGAATAAAAAAGTAGATAGATATTACAGTCTAGACCGTACTAAATAAATTAAGAAAATGTATAAAAAGGGGAAAGTTCGCAAAAGTAGGAGAGTAACCCAAAAACTCATGTTTAAGGAAGTAAACATGTGCGAGTCCCAGAAAAGTTAAATGTTAAAAAGTTGTTACGAGAAGGTGCATAATAAGCTGTAGTAGTGTTATACTCGACTTGCAAAGTTTCTCTTATTGAAAGAGCCTATTTGTAAACTTATTATAGGTCAGATGAAATGTGAAGTTATTAAAGACAATGTTTTGTCAAAAATAAAATGTGATAAGAATGCGGTCCACGTCGGCGGTGATATGGGTTCTTTAACGAATGTTTTATAAAGCTCGCCGTAAGAATTGTTCGGCACTGACAGCTTTAAAAGGTACGCGCCTTATATTAACACGAAGGATTCCAAGAAACAGAGACAGTCAAAAGTTGTTATGGAATCCGGAGTGGATAAAATTCGGAAAATGGTGAAAATATTGAAAGGATATTTTGATCATTTTAACTTTTACGTTGGGATACTGTGTATGGTGTATGGTGTTGCTGACGCCCGACAGTATCTCAGGGGTTACCTCGGTAATATTCGATTTGACAATATATATGTAGGGTCATATTTTCGCCGATAGGACGAGATTAGGAAGAAAGCAGGGTGTCCTCCCCTTTTGCCCTTTAAAAAACTTGAGGCGTAGAGATACGTGGCCGACCTCAAGAAAAGTAAGTACACTCCCTAAGAAAAGGAGGGTGCGGGCGTAGACTGGGGGATGATCTTCGGAATAACAGGGATTTCGATATTTATTTTTGCCATCGACTTTATGGTGTACCAGCTGGCCATTGCTCAGAGTCTTACGGGTAAAGTCAGGTTTGAGCAGCATATTGAAGACGTTTTAAAGATAGATATTGTCGGGGACTCGATGTTCGCTGACACCCTAAGAAGAATGCTCAGTGGCTTTCAGATTAACAAGACAGTAGACAAGACACTGTTAGCCACCGACTGCCGACCCGTTCCATATGCGCCCAATACCTCCACCTACTAGAAACACTTCTGCTCGTTAATGTTCTTGTTCATCGCCGGGTACTTGTAAGCCTCAGTGTCGCGGATGAAGCACGTGGTCGCCGGCTACTTCTTCCCTGACGTAGAGAAGCGCAGGCAGCTCCACCTATACTGGACCATCAAAACACAGCGCTAGTATATGGTAGTTTTAATGTACAAAAAGTTGGTGTGGCTGAGAGCTAACAACTTAGTAGGTGTGAGCAGGGAGCCGCCATGGTGGGAGTATCTTAGAAAATCTAACGTTGTTTTTGATATGCTGTTAAAACCATTCTTCACGTACACCTGCGTCGTGTGCAAATCACCTGAAGTAAAAGGTTTCCATGTATGCACGGGAGAATATTGCTCTCTAATGTATTGTAAACAATGCTGGGAAATGACCGACGAGAAGTGCATCAGCTGTACAATGGTTTTCAGTAAAGAACTTCTTGAGGAGTTTGCGACAGAGTTTGAGGCGTTGTTCTGATGGCTTCCTAAGTGCCTGCCACGGAGAACTGCCAGTATAAGATTAATGCTCTTTAATATTTTTATTATTATTATCATCATTGTTTATTTTTTTTAATTGATATTTGTTAGTACCTACCCGGGTTTATTATTGGTGGACGACTCAGAGCTTATGGCCACGACTATCTGCTGTACCCTCTCTCTCGCGGGACAGTCACAGCTGGTGGATAATTCCTGGTGGCGGCAGGTATGCTCCATAAAGTAATTAATAACAGGTAGATTAATCCCTCCTCTTGCCTCACTCTGTTAGCTTAATCTTAGCTCACTCTTGGCTCACTCTCTTAGCTCAGTCTTGGCTCACACTCTTAGCTTTGGCTCACTCTTGGCTCACCCATTTAATGTCTCAGATCATCATAGTAATTCATTGTACAGTGTTTGTTATATTGAAATACTAATCTCGTAATAAATGTCTCTCTCACACACAGGCGGACCTATCGTGTCGGAACACCCTCCAAAACGTTGGCACGATGTATACGCAGACCAATCACGTCACACTTCGTTATGTGACCGACCAATGGGGACCGAAGGAGAATGGCTTCAAACTTCTTATTACGGCCTTCAAAGATAAAAGTAAGTGAGAGAGAGAGAGAGAGAGAGAGAGAGAGAGAGAGAGAGGTTGTAGTGTTAAGTGGCAATTTATTAACTTTTATTTCCTCCTCCTCCTCCTCTCTTACGTCACCAGTCTGCTCTTTGATGTTTGGCTGAGACGATGCAAAGTCTGAGACGCCATTTGTTTACGCTCATGTGATTGGCAGGGCATTGTTGTCGTGTTTTGTATGCTGATAGTTGATTGGAGGAAAGTATCGCAGCAGCAGGTCAATATAGAAGTTGATTGGCTGCCGAAAAAAAATAAAAAGCTCAAGACTGAAGAAGTGACTGACGTTCTGAAATTTCACTGTCTGGGCTGAATAGAATTGATGACGTCATTATGTATTGATGACGTCACTGGCCCACTTAGCTATAATTGGATGGTAAGGAACAGGAAAAAGTGGGGAATGAAGTTCAAGTTAGAGTAGTCATATCATCTATGACGTCATGTGTTTACTTACTGACGATTGGTCGAAGCGAGACGCATCCCTGTAACTGATGACGTCATCTATTTACAGAGACATGATTGGATAAAGCGAATATCGATAAACGCCACTTGCATTCCTCCTAACTTGTGTGTGTGGTAATGAAGTAGCCAATTAGGGAAGAGCTAACAAAATAAGTTTAGTGATATATTATTTCGCGGCGGGGAGAGCAGATGGAAGGTAAATACTCTGGGATGACCTAACCTCACCTGACCTAACCTCACCTGACCTGACCTAACCTCACCTGACCTGACCTTACCTTGCCTTACCTTGCCTTAGCTTACCTTACCTTACCTAACCTCACCTGACCTGACCTAACCTCACCTGACCTAACCTAACCTTACCTTGCTTTACCTTACCTTGCCTTACCTTACCTTACCTAGACGTTACTGAGTGACAAAGACTTACAGTATTAATAGAGCAGTGATGACAACGATAACATAGAGCATTAACAGTGACAACAGTGATAAAATAAAGCAAAAACAGTGAGAACAGTGCCATAATAGTATAGTAACAATGACAACAGAAGAAAACAGGTGTAACAACAGACGAACAACGGTGTAAACAACAGTGCCTGGACTAGACAAGGGTAAATTCGCGAAGTGACAACCCGGGTCTAAAGTTTGGGCAGGTGCCAACTACCCTTAACTCATGCAGACTTTCCCACGGGATATTACTTGCACCTGTCTCTTGCCTAACCTAACCTAACCCAGCCTAACCTAACCTAACCTAAGCCAACCTAACCCAGCCTAACCCAACCTAACAACATTGTAACGGTACTTAACCCCCCCCCCCCCAACAGAGCACACCTGTCTACATTTCCGCTGTGAGACGACCAACTTCTGCGTGGACAGAGAGTTGACGTGTGACGGCGTGAATCATTGTGGTGACGGTAGTGACGAGTCGACCAACCTGGCCCGCTGTCCCCGTAAGTACCCGTCTATTATATACCTGTCTACCTGTGCTGTCTATTATATACTTGTCTACTATATATCTATATACTGCCTATATTCTCATCCACTACCTTTTCGGTCTTGTTATTTTTCCTTTCCACTTTTCATTTAGCAATTTTGTTTTGTCTCCTTCCTTTTCTTATGCCGTCTAGTGTCACATACGTCATTATCAAGCTGTTACGTCATTCATGTCAACAAACGGCTACGTCATAAATCTAACTCGATTGTGACGTCACAATTATCAACAATCTATGACGACTCATCCGCAGACTGTGACGTCGAACATGTCAGCCATCAAAGGGAATAATGCGTGTATGTAAATTCATGTCATGAGTTGTCAGCAGTGTGAGGTGAGCCATGTCAAACAGCCGCGTCATAAGTAAACTTTGCATGAGGTGAAGCATGTCAGTTGTCACGTCAAGTGGAGGGTCTCTCTCTCTCTCTCTCGGTGAAACTGGGTCACGCACCCCCAGACAAAGCTGGGTCACGCACCCCCAGACAAAGCTGGGTCACGCACCCCCAGATAAAGCTGGGTCACACACCCCCAGACAAAGCTGGGTCACACACCCCAGATAAAGCTGGGTCACGCACCCCCAGACAAAGCTGGGTCACACACCCCCAGATAAAGCTGGGTCACACACCCCCAGACAAAGCTGGGTCACACACCCCAGATAAAGCTGGGTCACACCTAACTAATCAATAACCAGGAGGGCGTCTTGCCAGCCGTCTGGGTCCCCGCCGCCAGAGAGGGAGAGTTACGTGGAGGGACAGACAGTGAAAGAGGTAGAGAGAGAGAGAGAGAACACTGTGAACTGAACCCGCCTGATGAGACTGAGGGAGAAAGAGAAGAGAGGAGTTAGACTGACTGAAGGAGACAGAGAGATACAGCAGAGAGGAGTTAGACTGAGAGAGAGGGAGTAGTTCAACAGAGAGAGATGACTTGTGTCCCAGAAAGTCAGAGGTATACCCTAACAGTGGGACGTAATGGGCCGGTATTGTACTAAGGGAACTTTGTGACCTCCTCAGTAAACCACCGCTGTTGTTTATGTAGGGGAGGCAAAGGGTTTCTCTCTCTTTCTCTCTTCGTCTGTCTGTTTAACTCTCTCTCTCTCTCTCACTCTCTCTCTCTCTCTCTCTCTCTCTCTCCTTTCTTCAGTATGTCCTCCTGGCCAATCTTCAGGTCAAATAAGCTTAGGAGGCTAATGTTCAGGTGATCCGAAGACACTAATGTTGGTGGGTCGAGGAGGAGGCGTGTGGTGGCTGGCCAGAGGGGTGATGAATGACTCGCGTTATCTTGTAATAACACCAACTGCATTTCATGCTCGTTTGTACAACAGTCTTTAGTTCACCTCGTTGGACGCCACCACACGCCTGAGATCGTTAGAAAATCGTTGTGACCGTTGAGATTCCGTTATGACCGTTTAAAAATTATTTTAAGGTCGTTTAAAAGGGGGGGGGGGAGGAAACAGATGGAGGGAATAAAGTAAACAAAAAAATAGAGACAGGAGGAATAAAGTCAGATATAGGGCAAAAACAAAGGTAAGGGGTGTTTTTTTTTCCACGGTTGTGTAATTTGAGGTAAAGTTTGAGGGTGTGTGAGCAAACAGAGATAGTGTGGTGGTGAGGTCGTAAAGATTAGATCTCCTGTGGCTGGTGGTGGTGGTGGGTAGTAGTGGTGGTGGATGGTGGAGGTGGCGGTGGGAGTAGTGGTGGTGTTGGGAGTGGTGGATGGTAGTGGTGGGAGGGTGGTGGTGGTGGTGGTGGAAGTAGTAGTGGTGGTGGATGGTAGTGGTGGGGTAGTGGTGGTAGGAGTAGTGGTGGTGATTAGTGGTGGATGGTAGTGGTGGGAGGTAGTAGTGGTAGTGGATGGTGGTGGTGGTAATGGATGGTAGTGGTGGTGGATGGTAGTGGTGGTAGGGTAGTAGTGGATGGTAGTGGTGGGAGGGTAGTGGTGGAGGTGGAAGGGTAGTAGTGGTGGTGGAAGGTAGTGGTGGGAATATGGTAATTGGTGGTGGTGGAAGGTAGTGGTGGGAGGGTAGTGGTGGGAGGAGTAGTAGTGGTAGTGGTGGGAGGGTAGTAGTGGTGGTGGATGGTAGTGGTGGGAGGGTAGTGGTGGTAGAGAGTGAGTGGTGGGAGGAGTAGTAGTGGTAGTGGTGGTGGATGGTAGTGGTGGTAGGGGTGGTAGTGGTAGTGGTGGTAGTGGTGGTGGATGGTAGTGGTGGTAGGGTGGTGGTGGATGGTAGTGGTGGTAATGGAGTGGTGGTGGGAGGGTAGTAGTGGTGGTGGAAGGTAGTGGTGGATGGTAGTGGTGGGAGGGTAGTAGTGGTGTGGTGGGAGGGTAGTGGTGGTGGTGGATGGTAGTGGTGGCAGGGTAATGGATGGTAGTGGTGGTAGGGTAGTGGTGGATGGTAGTGGTGGTAGGGTAGTAGTGGTGGTGGATGGTAGTGAGTGGTTCCTGGCACTCGTGTAAGTTACTGTGCTTCATGACTCTCTCCATATACCTTTCAGTCACACCAGTTTCAGCTCCGATATACCTTGCTGCACTTCACAATAATGGTATACTATACTTCACTATGTCCCCTATATATATATTCCTTAGGGGGGGGTAAAAACTGAGTGGCATCTACATATTAATTCTTCGCTGATTTTATATTCCGTTAACTTGGTCCCGCCCAGAACCACTTACCGCGCTATTACCATCTGGTAGAGTGTGGGAGGCTGGGGGTTAGACGGGGGAGAGTGTGGGAGAAGACGGGGGAGTGTGGGAGAAGACGGGGGAGAGTGTGGGTGGATGGAGAGGAGAGTTTGAGAGAGGGTGTTTGCGAAGGTGGGGGTGTGAGGGAGAGTCAACCAAGTATCATTATCTCGTTAACTTTACTTAAGGAACTTTTCAATATCGTTCTGGTACTAAAAAGTAATATTTTTCTTCAGTGCTTTTTACTCCAACAACTGTTTTAGATAAATTTCATACTTTTTACTCCTGCAACTTTTTCAATTTTAATATTGTTACTCGTTACCGTGAGAAAATATATTCACAATATTTTGACGCGAGACGGTGAGAAAATGCAACATAATATTTTGATACTCTTCCCTAATGAAGTTATCTGCCCCCTCAACGCTGCTGCAGTCTCTCAATGTTTGTTTACTTGTACCGGTATAAAATTTTAGCCCAAAGCATTGTGAGTAATTGGTACAGTTAGCAAGAATGTTGAAAATCAATTATAATTCAAAGTTCTTATGATGTTCTTTGTCAATAGTATTACTCTTAGAGTCATAGTGCAGGGGTGTCAAACTCATGGGCCGCGGGCCAAATGTGGCCCTTGGGATGGTCAGGTGTGGCCCGCGGGATGATGGTAAAATTTATCATCCCGTGAAATTATGAAAGAAATAGATATAATCATGTTTATTTAGTAAAGTGAATTTTACATACTTAAGATCAGACAAACCCAAATGAGGTATTCCTGGTAAGCCAGGTAAGGCAATGTGTGAAACTGTAAGCTTCAATCCTGCAAATATGTGATATAGCACTTGTGTTGGCCCTGAAGAGGGTAACCAAAATAAGAATTGGCCCTTGAAAGGTTTTGAGTTTGACACCACTGTCTTAGTGTATAGTTAAAGAATTTAAAACCTGTCAGCTTTTGTTATTACTCTAATAATTTTGTAAATGGACGCAATTGGTCGATATTTACGTTACATTTCATATGTTCTCCCTGACATTAACTGTACCATTAAGCAGCTGTTTGATCCCCATTTGACCTCCGTAGCCATGCCTCTGTGGGAGGTGTTGGGAGTGTCTGGCGCGCTACTCATCACCATCGTCGCGTCCGTGGCCTTCCTGTGCTGCGCGTGCGGAGTGACTGTCGTGGTGTGTGTCTACCGCAGGAACAGGGCGCTACACCGACCACCTCCCCAGACCCAGCCAGCCTACCCCTGTGAGTATACTGATCCTAGGGGTATGAATTATTATACTGGGGATGTGGTGGTGGGGTTGTTATGCTCAATAGTGTCTAACTCCAATTGAAATAAGAGTTGAGTAAATCTCCTGTCCAAAATGCCATTCTGTAATATCACATCTCACTTTAGTCATACATTATGTGTAGTTATACAAAATAATAATAATAATATAAATCCGTTCCTTCCCAGATGAATCAAAGTAAAGATATAATTCAAACAATATATTAAGTGTGAACATAACCTAGCACTCTTATGATCAGTGCCATCTGTGACTGGAAACTTAAACCATTGGTCATTTATAAGAGCAACATCATCGAAAAGAAATCAAAAGGTAAACCTACAGTCGAAACAGTTGATCATTAGGGTAAGAGTACAGACTATGTTCCAACACTGGTTATCACTGTGCAAACTAATTGGTTGTTGTGTACGGCAGTGGAGGCGGGCGGGCGGTTTGGGACCAACGGCACATTTGGCACACTGCTGGTGGAGAAGCCTCCCCCCTACCCCGGGGCCCCCCAGCACACCTCTGTTATCCCTCCAGGTAACTCTGGTCTCTCTCTTTAATAATAATAATAATAGTACTACTACTAATAATAATAATGCTAATAATAGTAATGAAAAAAATAATATTAATACCAAAACTAGTATTGATAATGATAATGAAAAAAAAAGTAAATAATAACAATAATAAATAATTAGTTATATGTCTCAGTCAATCTGTATTGTTTGAAATGAATAAAACACTCATTTTCTAATATATTTTAAAGCTTTCAGAAATTTCTATGTAAAAACAAATATTTAAAATTTAGATATACATAAATATGCTAATAAAATTTGTATTTTTTTAAGCCATAATAATTTAAAATCACTTGTATTTTTGTTACGTCAGGTGTTGAGTCTACCTTCACCCTGATGATCTGTGCCTCACTTAACCCACTACACACCTGTCTCCCATCTTACTACACATCTGTTACACACCTATTAACACACACACACACACACCTGTCAAACACCTATTAACACACACGCACACACATACAGTATGCACCTGTCACACACCTACTTACACACACACACACACACACCTGTCACAGACAAACGCACCTGTCACACACCTACACACAATTGCACCTGTCACACACCTACTTACACACACACACCTGTCACACACCTACTAACACATGTGCCTCCCGCAGGATCCACACCAACTTCAGGGGGACTCAACTTCCCTGGGTACACTGTAGGCTGCAGCGCTCGCTACATACACCCACTACCTTAAGATTATTTCACGCTCGCCTCTACCACCTCTCACTCGCCCAGCATGTCAGCCAACTTGTCTCTAAGGTAGGAGCCTGGGAGACCCGCCTCCGGAATGTCTTTGTCTGCCTTGTGTGGATATTTGTCTCTCTCCCAGAACATCAACTCAGTGTCATACCATGTTGTTATTATTATTATTGTTGTTGTTGTTGTTGTTGTTGTTGTTGAATGGTTAAGGCCAGCAGCATAGTTTAGTTGTGTCTTCCGAGAAAAGAAATTTAGGGAGGAGAACTTTGAGATTCTCAGGTGTAGTTTACTTGGGGTTGGTTAGCATTAGATGTCTATCGTTATAGAGATAAATTTGGCTTGTCTTAGATGTCTGTGATAGCCTAGTCGTAACTGTTTAACAATAGACAACTTAACCTAGTTAGGTCTAAAAGATTGATTTTTTCTTGCTATATATCCCTGAACAACTCTTCACTTAATTATACTCAAAAGTGGGGTTAGTTTCCCATAGTGTTTTATGTAGGTAAATCATAAAGCAAAATTCCTGATATAGTTGAGTCAGGTGAAAGGTAATCTAAATATCCAAGCATGTCCTACTATAACTTAAATGACTTACCTAAATGTTGTCTCTTGTAACTAAACTTATCCTCATAACCTAACCTAAAGGTACACTCAATGTGGCATAAGCTAACCTAACCCAACCTAAAGGTACTCACTGTGGCATAAGCTGACCTGGCCTAACCTTACCTAAAGATACTCACTGTGGCATAAGCTGACCTGACTTAACCTAACCTAACATCCTAAAAAAAATATCTAAATCTCCCTCATCTTAATCAGTTTATTTTAGGATAGTACGTCTTGCAAATTAAGTAACATTAAACTAATTTGTTCCTTCATAAGTGACCTTTTGAAACAGTAATCTTTTGACCTTTTCATCTTCCTATAAGTTTGTGTTTGTTTTGATCTGTCTTGTGTTAACCAACTAACCTCTTCTAACAGTAATCTTATCATAGAGTCATAATATTAGTCCTTAGTCTACCTCCATGGATTTAGACGTAAGTAAACAACCATACAGTGAATTAGCCTATCCTGACCTACCCAACTCTTCCTGGACACAACCCAGCCACACTATCTTTTATGAACCATAACTCTGCTGTCTTAATTCTGTCATCCTGTGCTAATCAACCCTCTAATCTTTAACATAAATCTCCCTAAACTGTTATGCATTACTAGTATGCATTATGGATCTACTTAAGTTATTGTTGAGTGAGAGTAGTGAGTTGTCTAAACAAAACCAACATGAACACAAGGCAGCAGTGTCAACCACCAGCAAGCCTAGCTGTAGTGGAGTTATCTTGGTTTACCTTCCAAATTTATTCACTTTTTTTGTAACTGATGATGTTCTGGGAGTGCTTATAATATAAATTATCAAACTTTTCCCGTGTTTCAAGCTATCGACAAATAAAAAGGTTACTGGGTCGTATGATGACGTGCAACTTGCATTGCCATACTTTCAACAACTTTTGTCATGAAAATTATGGCAAGACATCAGTTTAGTAGTGCCTTAAGACCCAGTAACCTGTGCCATGTGTCAGGCTATGAGTACGGGACTTAGTTTGATAATAAGGAATATCCACACAAGTTCACAAAGATCCGGGTGTGTGGAGACGAGGGTTGGGCAGTGTGTCACCATTCTCGCTCGGTGCGCGGGATTTTACTCAATGTGGCCTGATGATATTGTGCATACACTTCTCCCTTTATATTTGATTTGATTGCATTTATATATTATATATACAGTATATATGGAATTTTGTTATTTTATATAGCCTGTGTTGTGTTGGTATCAACCTTTAAGAGAAGTCATTGAGTAAAATGCGCCCAGGCAGTGCGGAGGCCACTGCTGCTACACCCCAGCCTCTCAGGCTCCCTCATCCTCCTGTAACACCTCGCTCAGGGACCCCGACTCTAACACCTCAACACTCGCAAGACTACAAATTCCTCGTAAGGCCATAAAGATAAATTCCACAAAAAAGACGAATCAAAGTGATCGGTTATGTGTAAAACTTTTTGGCTATCTCGGTATTGAAACTAAGTGTTGCAGTGTTATAAATAACTGTGGCCTCTTGCTGGTGAACACTACGTGGTGTGTTGTTTGTAAATAACCATTTGGACATCGTCATTGCTGGTGTTAAATTGAAGTAGGCGTTATCCTTGAGCTTGGTCACCAAGCAGAAGGTAGCTCCTTACTGTAGTGTACTCGTGGTGCCCTCTCAGCCTTGGTGCTCCCCAATTGGTGCTCGCCCTCGCCCTATAACGCTAATGGTGCCCCTCCACAGCCCTGGTGCCCCTCACAATTGACTTGGTGCTCCCCTTGGCAGATTCGAGCCCGGGAAACCTGGTTCGCCCTGCGTTAGGGGTGGGGTGCAGTACGCTACTACGGCTCACCGCTCGCTGCTGCCTGTCTCCGTGAGGGCTTCAGGCTCTGAGAGTGACGTCTCCTCCACGCAGAAGGAAGAGTGGTTTGTATAGGTGAGTGACACACACACACACAAACAAACAAACAAACACACACACACACACACACACACACACACACACACACACACACAGTTTCCAAAAGGTTCCGTGTTAGGTTTGAGTTCCAAAGTTTATCCCTTTAAAAAAACGAACCAATTATAGATATATTTTTAGATATGGTATACACTGTACATTGTTTAGACATATGATTTAGACATGATTTGTAAACTTTCTTAAAAAATATATTATAGACATGTTTAGACTTGTTTTTAGATATTTTAGACATATTTATACTTGTTTTTAGATAATTATAGTCATATTTTAGGGGCTATAGACATGATTATACTTTTTTTAGATGGTTATAGACATATTTTGGGGGTATTAGACATGTTTAAGCTTGTTTTAGATAGTTATAGCCTTTTTTTTTTTTTTTTAGACATTTTAGACTTGTTTTGAGATAGTACTGTATATTTTACGCATTTAGACAATTTACTTATTAATGACATGTTTGTGTGTGTCAACAGGTGAACGTCGAGCAAGCGTACTAAACTCTCCTGGCACAGGGTGGTCTACCGATGTCTGCAAGTGGCCCCCCAGGCAGACAACACAGTCTACCCGCTTTCTCTATCTTCATACATTACTCTTTCTCTACTTGACTCTCTCTCTCTTCTTGATGCTCTGTCTATTTGTCTGTTTCTCTCTACTTGGTTCTCTGTCTGTCTCTCTCTCTCTCTCTATACTTGATTCTCTGTCTCTCTCTCTCTCTCTCTACTTGATTCTATGTTTGTATCTCTACTTGATTCTCTGTCTGTCTCTCTATTTCTCTCTATACTTGATTCTGTCTCTCTCTCTCTCTACTTGATTCTCTGTCTGTCTCTCTATTTCTCTCTCTACTTGATTCGCTGTCTATCTGTCTGTCTCTCTCTACTTGATTTTGTCTCTGTTTCTGTCTACTTGATTCTGTCTCTCTTTGTATCTACTTGATTCTGTCTGTCTTTCTTCTTGATTCTCTGTCTCACTCTCTCTACTTGATTCTCTGTCTATCTCTCTACTTGACTCTCTCTCTCCACAGTTCTCTCTTTGTCCTAACATATAGACAAGATCGTCTTTTCATCTCTTTCCACCTGTCCTCTCTCTCTCTCTTTCTTTCTTTCTTTCTTTCTTTCTTTCTTTCTTTCAATATAATCCTTCCCTTCGCCTTGACTAAAGTTCCTTACTAATGGCATTTATTCTCCATCATTAATCGAAGCTTTCATTGGCCGGCCGGTCGTATTAATGACTCTTGTATGAATGAATGACTTTACCTCACGTCGACATTCTTGTATTGATAGTACAGTACTACACTATACAGTACTTGACGCCATAAAGTTTATAAACCCACAGCCTCGAACACAAGGTTGACTGATCCGAAATTAGACCACACGAAACCTCCCGGCCTCAACTTGTTAAGAAAGGCCTCAGAAGCACTACTAATTGAAATTGTTGTCAGTGAAATGAGTATATATGTACATGTATATATGTATAAGAAATAATATTGATACAGTAATTATTGTGGATATATTCCCACTTTATGAAGTTATTGGTGTTATATTTCAGTAAAGAAACAACGAACCAGAAAACGACACAGGTTGGTTCGAACTGCTTAATGGTTTGTGTTTCATTTCATTATATTAAAAAAGTCATACTAACAGTTTAAAAGAATAACATATACAAGATGAGTTCCAAAAGTTTGTCAAGTGCTTATAATGATACTTGTAAGGTAAAGAGGAAATGGTGAGAACAAGTGTGAATGACTGTTATTGTTTGGTCTCTTAACTTGGTCTTCACATCTCTCATGAAGCGGCCGTGAGTCACAACCAATGAAAAAACAGTCATTGTAATGAGTCATATTTCATCATCTTTTGGGGTAAGTTAAATATAGAGACATACAGAGGTGGCACACTTCACTAACACACACAACTACACATATCGGTCACTGATGTATGAAACATTTTATCTCCTCTATTATATGACACAGTATCTTTTTTAACATTGTTTTGTACACTGTAACAAGAGTTTATATAAGGTATTATATATTGTATCTGTTTCATATTGTTTATGTTGCAACAAAAAAAATCTAAGCTGTACCAGGGATCATTTATGAGTATAATAACTGCTGCTACATAGTTAACCTTATACACATTTAGCAGTGAGGACAATTACCAGGTTAAAATGATATCATGATTGTAAAGTAAACATCAATGACATTGGTGTCACCCTCAAACACACTTATGTTAACTGATGAAATTTGTTGTTTAACAGAGAATATTGACAATGATGAGGAGAGATGTAGACATTGTTATTGTTGTTATTTATGTTCTGGCATATATTATCAGGGTATTTTACTACAGTACACACACACACACACACACACACACACACACTCTTTCCAATATACCTGTACTGAGATTTTAAGTGTAAGATAATTACAAAAACTGGTTCAATTTAAAACCTATTTGTAAGGTTTGAATGTAAGTTGCAGATAATTTCCCCCATAATGTACTGGGCAACTTTTTAATACAAAATTACTATTATGCCATGGAATATATATATATATATATATATATATATATATATATATATATATATATATATATATATATATATATATATATATATATATATATATATATATATATATATATATGATAACCACAAGGAAAGAAGAAAACACGAAGTTCCCAAGCACTTTCGTGTAATTCACATCTTCAGGGGTGAGTACAGACTGTCTGTACTCACCCTAATATGCGCACCTACAGTGATTTACTTGCATATACAGTATATATATATATATATATATATATATATATATATATATATATATATATATATATATATTATATTAATTTTTCCCTGTAAATTTGGGCATAAGTTGGGGTGTCATTGGCTAAAATTAGACTCAAACCTGTTGGCTTGAATGGCATCAAAATTAGTGCCAGACTCACCATAACGAGATGAGTTTCGTCACGGAAAATGGGGGTAAAGATTGACCTATGACACTGAGAAACGACCTCAAGAAAATCATTGTAAGTTGGGTGTCGTATACTGTACCACAAGGCTCGGGGGGGTTATAACATTCGATAAACAAGTAGAAACAAAATAAATTACAGTACTATTTTTTCAGTATTCTGGTCTTTGTTGCCAACCACATTAGTGTCGATAATGAAATGATATTGATCAATGAATAAATCAATAATTATTAATAAAACAAACAGTAATATATAAATCAAACATCTGACACTGAGTGAAACATGACTTAGTAACATTACTGGGAAGAACAAAGTTTAGGGACTTTTCTTTAAAATATTAAGCAAACAAAATCTCTCAACAAAATATTCCACATTTGTAAAATTTAAGATTCGTGATGGTAAATAATGTAGCAGTTAAAGTACTTGTTTTATGTTGTTATTTGTTCACAATAATTAACTAAGTCGGCTATATACCTGTCATGTTTTGTTGTGTAAGTGATCTCTCCTGACTCAACACAAAGGATCACTAGCAAACCTATTATATATCACAGTATGTAATTATTTTTAAAGGATTCATAATTATTTATTATTCCATACTTTTTTTTTATTGGTTAGTGTGTTTACCTTGGTTCATATGTATATTGTTACCCCCAAATATTCTGTGAGTTCAAAGTCATGCCGATATAGAGTATTACCCAGGATAACAGAAGTTCCATTACTTGCCATCATGGTAATCAGTTCTGAATACAGGAAGAAGATTTCATTAAGAGATTTTGTGCGTTAAATGCCTTACTAAGAAAAACCCTCAAAACTTTTATACTGTACAGTACTACACATAATTTCCAAAATTTTGTTAGTGGCCCTGAAGGAAAACTAGCAATTTTAGATTTTTTTATAGACTGTATATGAATTAAATTGTAATTGTTTATAGGAATCATATTACAAATATTTCTTTAATGTTATGTTTAAAAATTAGTAGATAGGATTATGGATTATCAGTGATTATGAAGATTATTATATTTTTTCTCTCATTGTAGCAAATTTATACAAGGTATTTGTTAATAGAAACTAAGATTTAAGAAATGGTGCTTAATAACCCGAACAGTTTAAGCCCGGATCACAAACTTACAGATCAGTGATGATTGTTTATGAAATAATTACTGGGCTGTAGTCTGTTTTCAGATAGCTTTTGGCCACAGTATCTTAAGATATAGTTTCTTACCAATTCAGGATTTGAGATAATTTAGAATAGTAGGTACATAAGTTGCCTTAAAAATTATACAATGTTAGAGGTACAGTACAATATTTAACCCATGCAGCTGCAGAACACACAAGTACAGCAACATCATAACCTCATTCAGCAAAACATTTGATTGAACATAAAAGTGCATCAACAGTCACCAGGCCCTCAGTACTGAACGTTTGGTATTATTAGTGTTTCTTGGTTGAAAGTGATACTGAATTATCATAAACAATTATAAGAGTACTGTATTATAAATAATCATACACTAGCAACTGTATCAACCTAGATTATTGGCACCATTGAAATAATTAAATAAATACAGTATTATTAGTAACAAGCTGGCACCTTAATATTTATAACACGTAGAGTCTTTACCTATGTGAAGAACATCAGATATAAACAAATATGATCACTTGTAATTATTGGCATCAAAAATGAAATAAGTACAGACACTTTTATTTATGTTAGTATAATATGCAGCAATACCTTGACTCTCCTGCCTGTGTGAGTCGCACCACAAGCTATAACTATCCTGAGTACATTGTAATATACTACCATATCATAAACGCATATCATACCAAAACTTAAATAGACCATTTGACCTCCGTATACACATATATATATATATATATATATATATATATATATATATATATATATATATATATATATATATATATATATATATATATATATATATATATATATATATGTATGTATATATATATATATATACTGTAACATAATAATTTCACTGCATATTCATTATGGTTCCTGAATATTACGAAATATGACCAATAATCTATAATAATGTGTTAAGGCCAATAGTAATAATATTTATATTTATAATACATTACAGGTGTTTACCTGTACATGTTCTGCATATAATTCCAGGTCACATAAGAAATATGATAGTGAGGCTAGATATGCTTGTATTTGTAATGTAATTCATGATGATGATATGTTGGTCTGGCTATCACTATATACTTTCATATCAAGAATGTGTCTGGCCCAAACTCTTGAGATTTCATTACAAACAGTAATATAAGTGTGAGTTTCGCCACAACATAATCCTGTATTAATCTTATGAACTGATAGGTGGGTCTGTTTTCCTCTCGTGATCTATGAAGTAATATGCCATTTATCTAAGTTCTCAGAGGAGCTCTAGGTTAAGTATTAATTTTGTATATACCTAAGGTTATAATAAACATTGTGTGTATATATAGTCCACATTACATGAATGGTAAATGGAGATTATGATGTAACAATACTATAATTTGAATCATTGTGGCTGAGTGCTTGATAGCAGTCCTTTTTACTCAACAATGGGAGAGGAATGTTATTGACAACACTTCACAAAGTTTAATAAGGTGAGAGAAACAATATTGTCTTTTTTAACCTTGGCTGTCTCTTCATATCATTGTTACCATGAGCATGTCTTTCTCTTTCCCCTGTACGACGGATAATTGCGTGTTATTTCAGATAAATGTACATACACAGTGAGTGTGAGAACGTAAGGGTGTTCCTCAACCATATAGGACCTAGTCGTGGCTCCGGATTTCTCGGCCCCGGACGTCTGTCAAGTTAATTTATCTTACCAATTCTTGCCAGTCCAACCTTCTACCCTAAGCTGCCCTGAACTAACCTAACCTATATTGGCTTAACCTCATCTTTATGTAATGTAACCGTTTCATATCTAATCCAATTTACCATGATGTAACCCAAGTTAAAGTTCCACCCATCATGGTGTAAACTATCTAAATAAATACAGTTCGTACGAGGCCGAAGCGTCCGTCCACCATTCCTTTTATCTCCTGTTTGGGAACAGAAAAATACTGGCCTTTATTTTTGGGGGAGTATTTTTACTACCCTTTATTGACCATCCATGTATTTTACGAGACAGATGCGCTACCCAACCTTGTATGATCATTTTATGTGTATTTTGGGAAGTAAATATAAATAACCAATTTATGTTCGGCCATCCATGTATTTTATAATGTCAATACAGGCTGGCAACTATTGTACGAACATCCATGTATATTTCCAGATGATGATATACCTGGATTCTGTCAAACGTATGACATCTGATGTATAATTTGTGGAATAAAATTAAAATTAATGCTTGTATAACCATCCAATATAGTTTGGATGGTGCTGCTAGGCTCGATCTTCCCCGTACTAAGTGTAAACCAAGTTATGACCATCAGTGTGAGCTACCTTAGACTTACACTAGGCTTGAGGCGACTTTTTCAATTTTTTTTAATAAATAGAAAATGAGCTCACGTAAAGACTGGCTCATTTTTTTTAGTATGTCATAGTGATAAATTGTTTGACTTGTTAAGCTTAAGTATATTTTAGTGGGAATTTAAATATGAACCACTTACTATGATTGTGATGGGAGGAGAGCCTAACAGAAACCTCCCCTCTCCCCCTCTGGTAAATTTAAATATTTACCATCTATGTTGTGTGAAGATTTTACTTGTATACATGGATGATGCAACAACATGGCATTAAAAAAAAATACAGAATTGAAAATATGCTGACCATAAAATTACAAAAAGACTTTTGTTGTGTAAGAGGGGAGTGTTAATAAGGAAAGCATTAGTTCTTTTGGGAGATTCTCTGTTTTAAAGATTTATTATTTCAGATATATGTTAATAATGGGTGTCTTTTTATTAGAGAAATTCTGACCATATGTTATTGATGGCAGAAAGATGATGGCCAACTGCACTTAACATGTTCAGACAGTTCTGTGCATTGAGGCATTTTATGTGTTGAATGTTTGTAGGGAAGAAATTTTGAAGGTAATAACCTGTATATTAATATGGAACCAATTTTGTGAGAAACATTATGTTTTTGGGATATTTTCGTGAGTTGTGGTCATTAAATGAGTAAGTGTTTGTGAGCTGTGGTATTCTTCTATCATCTTAGTGAGTTTGTGAGGAAAGTGTGAGTAGACTGTGAGATTAATTCTAAGGAATATGTAGCCCATGTGAGTTAGTGTGAGTGAAGTTAGATATTAAGGTGCTCTAAGTGAAGAAAACAAGTATGTATTGTAAAGTTAGATCCTACAGCGGGAAGATCAGGCAGGAAGACGGCTCCTTTGTGCTACATGTTCCCATTCCTTTAAGATTACGTGTGACTGTGTACCCAGCACTGTTGATTAATACGTTTGTTTAGTCAAAATTTAGGTTTTAGAATAAAGTTCCGATATGCTAATTGCACTTAATCACTGAGGACTTAAGGTATTTTGCTTTAAATACAAATAATTATTATTTTTTCATTAGATTCTTTGTACAATATATTTCTCATATACAAAGTATTTGATTTTTCCCTCAAAACTGCAAGTGGAAAGTTTGATTTTCATTAATCATGAATTACAGTACACTGTGTTTTCAAGACTATACATAATGTATGCAGAACATACGAACATACACATTATATCATTCTCATTAAAATTTAAGATAAAGTTTGAATGTTTATTGATCTTTTTAATAATTCAGTATATTGTTGGCACACTCCTTCCTTATGGGGTCAACTATATGACTTTGTATGTGTGTGTCTGTGTGTATATGAGTCTCCCGCCTGGTCCAGCCCAATAGTGCACTAGCGAGTCTCTCTGACATACTCTTAACTATAATCTCTTATGTATAGTACAATAAGGAACAAAAACCATAATAACACAAGTCTGGATTTATTGTTTAAGGAAGCTTTGTGAGAGGTGACGTTTGTTCAGCCTTGGTTTACTGTATCTATATAGGACTTATCTATATTCTATACCAATGTAACTTTAAACAGATAGCAATAGAAAACTGGAATTAAGGTTTATTTACCAGTGAGTTTTGTGTTTTTTATTAGCACTACACAGTTTGGAAGATGTGTTACAGACTAAGGACAAATTTTTAGGTAATATTTCTGTGTACTGGATGGATGTGTTGTGTGGTGGGTGTAGCACTAGGCTCTGTAGCTCTGTGTCATGTCCATTCATAAAAAATACAAAACCACTTTTCATATTGAGTATTTTTTTTATTATTCCTTCAGCCATCCACCTCTTTATAAACTCGACAGAAAATTTTAGTGTATAAAATAATTTTACACTTACCCTGTATAAATACAGAAAAAAGATTCATAAGAGTCAGAGACGTGAATTAATGCAATTTCATTCTTTGTATTTGTTATAATTTGTGATTTTACTATACCTGTACAGGGTATACTAATAACATTTGTGATAATTATGTAAACAAAAATGTATTCCCTGGGCGACACAACCTCTGTCTTATCTCTTCAATGTATAGTTATCTTGTATTGGGCCATGATGAGCTATCTACTAATAACTGTTAGTCATTATCAATGAACCACCGAGTGTGATAAGGCTATCATGAAGGACATAGTGCAGCAACTGCCACTCGCTACCGTTAGTTAGCGTTATTATGCACATTCACACCTGCTCCAATCTCTCAGGGTAGTTGAGGTGCCGAAGTGCAGGCACCAGTCTGGTGGCCCTCCTTTGAACATTTTCAACACAACACCTAAACACAGTGATGAATATAACTGAAATTCCACTGTAAATGAAGATAAACACAGAAAAACCAGAGCACTGAATAAACATTTGGTGTCATTATGAGTCCCTTGCAAGTCACTTGGGGCCATTGTGAATCACTGGCGCAGAGCTCCAATGGGAATGAGAGATTTCCGGATCCTGAGACAAATTTCTCATCCCTGGAAAAAATTGCACATCCTGGATTTTTTCAGGGTACAGTACTTGGAAAATTTTTCCGAGTCTAAACTACGCATTTCACATGGACGAACACTCTCCTATGATGTTTTGGCTGCAGTCACGAGCAAAAATATTTACAGCTAGCGAAAAAGTTTACAGTACAGGTATTAACATTCACAGCATCTATTCTAATTGTGTTTGAGAGACGAACTTGATACCATGATGATCCTGAATAGAATTTCAGAAGCATATGCTGCTGTCTAGATCTTGTGTTGCAGGCAGGCCAAATGGTGATACAATGATACAGAATAGACTGCCTTTGACCTGTACCATCTACTGTAGCGTATGTCATTACAAAAATTGTGACCAAGTCCCAGGTTGCTGATCTGACTTTCTACCTCATTTACACACATTTGCAGGGTCTCAATTGTTTCTCTTACTTTGACAACACAACATACATATATCGTTTCTCACTATTAATCTTTTTCATTTTGTACCCTGTATTTCTTTATGGTTCTTTATTATTATTATTTATCAGTGTTGTATTATTATTATTAAATTTTTAATTTTGTATACCTGTAAAAAAAAAAAGCACGAGGCAACAGTAAGCATACACTGTCCACTCTGCAGAATGTACATTACAGTATACGTACTGTAACTGTAATCACTTTACGTCTTAACACCTCCACCATCCATCCAGGTTAACAGTACTACCCCCCACCCCCCAGGTTTCTTTATGCCATTTGCCTCTGTCTACCCAGCAGTAATTAGGAACTTGGATGTTAATCGATTTGCGGATCGTGTATCGGGGTAATGGTCAGTTGGCGAATTGTCTGGTCTTCTCAGACTATTCCTTGAGACTGGGTCATGCAGCTCGTTAACTTAGTGTGTGGTTGTTGTGTTGGCGACAGCTTCTACACCTTAAACAAATTCACTCCTAGGTGGCCCTTGGGCTGGCCATCCTCGTTACACGAAGGACAACCATTAAATGTTACCCAACATTGGATCACATGTGCATCTCAGACCTTTGGCAGACTCTTTACCTGTGTCTTCAGCTGTAGGGAGCTGAAATTATCTACAAAGCTGGTCGTATATGGCAGCGAGATATGGGTCACATACAGGAGGCCCCCAAGGCACTTGAAAACTTTCAAGAACATAGCCTAGATTCCATTCTCCGAGTTCGTTTGGAAGTCAAGAGAAATGCCACTATTCTCACTGACATCAACTATAAGAGCATCAAGGATACCATTATCCATGAGTAACTGCCGGTACCCACACACATACACACACCACCTACCCACAAACCCCACTTACCCACACACACACCACCTACCCACAAACCCCACTTACCCACACACCACCTACCCACATATACCAGCCCAGATCCATGCGGGGGTAGTGTCATACATAGGGGTAATAAACTGTTGTAGGCTGCGCTGCCAAGAAATGATGATACTTTTAATTGAATATGTAGAAGCTCTCGAAAAGTTATGATAATATATCTTATCTGGAGAGGGTGGCGGTGATACCCCCCAGCAGATCACCTCTCTTGACACTCACGCATTCTACAGTCTACACACACCACTACTCAGTATCCAGTCAACAGTTACTCTGGGAACAATTAATTGCAGCCATCAATAAGTACACAGTAAGTGAAGTGACAGCATAGTGAGCCAGTGCGTGAACTGATGCGTGTGAGAGCTATGGATTAAGTACCACACAGTGCAGTTTATAAGTTCCTGTAGTCACTTCATTAGTAACTGCCAAGCGCTGTGTCCTTGCCAGGCAGGTCCAGTCACTTTACTGTCAAATGGGTGTAGATGGCAGTGAGTATCAAGGGTGAGAGAGAGAAGGCCCAGCAATGCGGAATTATTTTCCAGTTTAAACGAAAAGCGAAGTTGCAGCAAACTGATTTATTCGAAGTTTCCTATCCTAAGTTCTAATAATAGTAACACCACTAATAATAATAATAATAATTCATTGCAGTTCTATCGTGTAATGGTTAAACACATCATTTGCAGCCGGCAGACTTGACGATCCTGACCGTACCTCACGTGTACACGCCCCAGACTTGCTTATGAGTAACAAGCCATATAACACATTAAGGTAACGACCATTACAAAGAATTTAGTGGTCTTTGGCTGCGCAAAGCCGTACGTAAAATAAACTCCTTTGCCAGTGGAAAACGGTAAAAAATCATTCAGTTATTATTTTTTGCAGGGTGTTACAAAGATTAAAAGTATATAACCTATTGCAGCTTGAATAGTAAACACATTGCAGCGTTAAGAGACGCCAAAATAAACCACAGGATTATATTAGTTTGGGTGGTTCTGTTCGCCGTCCACCTTTTCCTCATCTTCTTTAGACTTGAGTTGATGGTTTTCTATCTTCTAGCTCTTGTTATTGTAAAAAAACGTGCAGTGTTTAGAGTACCACTGCTAACGCGCACCTCACCACACACGCAGAAACGATGGGTGATACTCAAATAAGGGAGGGAAAGCAGCTGATTTCACCAGACCTAAAACAACAAGACACACACGCACTGACTGTAAATACATAATATATTGACAGACGCAGTGTATGGGCATGGCAGAATTCACTTGTTTTATTTTGGTTATTGGAATAAAGATATGGTTGCCATAACTCCCACAGCTACAGTAGTGTGTATAGTTTTACCTCCCTTGGTCAGCTCAGATCAGGCTACAATAATACCTCACAAGAGAAGAACGAACTCTTACGATCACGCGCTCTATTTTCCACATAACTGAAGATTGTGGAAACTTGGCGAGTGACACAAGACTTTTTTTTATCCTCTTCACCACTGATCGGCTCGTTAGCCGCTTGGGCGATCGGTCACGTCTCTGTTACGCTCTGTTGGCAAGTACTGGGCATGCACCAGCTCCTAAATGTACCTGAACCTGCTCCAGTGTTGGTCAAGTTTGGTCTTGAAAGAGCTCACACTCGGTGCCGTCACAACACTTTCTGGTAGATTGTTCCAAGAGTTCACAACCCTCACTCGAAAAAGTTTGTCCTCACAGTTTTCTGGACTTGCGGCTTCTTCAATCTTGAGCTGTGACCCCTTGTGGGGCGAGCGTCCACCAGCTCCAAGTGAGGACACTCGACTGAGTAGTGCCCATTTGAGATGCTTATACACCTCAATTAAGTCTCCCCTTGCCCGTCTGTAGTATTAGCTTGGCAAGTTCAGGTGCTCCAATCTCTCAGGGTAGCTGAGGTGCCGAAGTGCAGGCACCAGTCTGGTGGCCCTCCATTGAACATTTTCAATCAACTGGCAGTCCCTAGCATACCTCGGGCACCAGACAGGGTGACAGTACTCCAGATGGGGAAGCACTTCACGCTTGAAGATCGTTACGAGGGACGGACCGTCTAGATATCTGAACGACCTTCTTATAAGACCCAATAATTTATTTGCCTGATTTACCTTCTCGCAATGGCCCGAGAACTTCAGCTCATTGGCAACATAGACACCTAGGTCCTTCTTACATTGTCTCAAATAGTGCAGTTTCTTCATCCCGTCGGGACATGATACGCCTCCTTACCGTTGGTACGCCCCAGGTGCATCCTCTTACTTTGATATCTAAGAGAGTTTTCGACTCACTTAAGAGATATAACAGGTACATTAACAGAACCGTAGCAGTGGTACGATTCGTTGTGGTAAATGCAGATACTACGAAGAGAATGAATGCGAGTATTTGTGAATGACGATGCTTACAATTACTGTAAATTTGTTTGTGAATGACAGTGTTTACTGTTAATATGACTTTATATATATATATATATATATATATATATATATATATATATATATATATATATATATATATGCAGATAACAGTATTAACTAATAATATTTTCGTCATCAAAAGGAGCTGCCCTGTGAGGTGACGCAGCAGTCGTGATGGTGCGGAAAGTGGTGAGTGTCTATTTTGTGTATTACATAGAGAAAACAAGAGATAGAGAAAAAGACAGATGATAAGAAAGAATGAGAAAATGATAGAGAGAAGCAAACTGCGATCTAGAGAGAAAGTCAGACAGCGAGAGTGCTAACACGCCCCTATCCTTCCAGTGGCAGATTTGTGTGTATGCTGGGATGGACGACTACCATGTTGTAATGGACCAGAAGGCAGTCGGCAGAGAACTCCTTGCACAGGTAATCTCTTCCTTCTCTTTCTCTAGCTCGCTCTCTCTTTTTTTCTAGCTCACTCCCTCTCAATACGTTTCTCTTCCAAACTCGCTGTATGTATCTTGCTCTCTCTCTTTCTCTCTAGCTCGCTCTCTTAATGTCTTTCTCTCTCTTCCTTTATAATAACAAATAATGAGGTTCCAACACTTATGGTAACAGATAATGAGGTTCTATCACTTTATGGTGGCAACTGATGGCATTCTAACACTATATGGTGGCAGGTGCTGGAAGAGGTGGGGGTGAAGGAGCAGGAATGGTTTGGCCTGCAGTACAAAGACGATGATAACTTCTGGCATTGGCTCGTTCACGACAAGAAGGTATGCAACCCAGTCCAGTATCCGCGTTATTATTATTACTGCATTATTATTATTAGTAGTAGTAGTAGTTGTTGTTGTTGTTGTAGTAGTATCACAAACACTTCCACCGTTTGTGCTTTAAGTTAACTGATAGGACCAACGGTCAAAGACTGTCCTCGTTAAAGCAGTGGTTAATATTGTAGCCAGTGTGCAGAGAGAGACAGGAACTCCACACAGAGATGCAGACACGTGTGGACTTACAGGTGTGTGGTGTTGCAGGTATTGTCTCAGAGGGTGAGTGAGAAGAACGACCCAATAGTGATGTTCCTCAAGGTGGTCATCTTTCCCCCGCAACCTTCCCTCCTAGATGACCCCGTGGCTCAGGTGAGTCCCTCCTCCCTCCACCACCAGGCCCTCTTTCTGTCTGTCTGGCTCTCTCTCTCTCTCACACACACACACACAGTTTGACTTTATATTCTGATATTTCTGTCCAGTAGGATAACGTACAGTGGTATCTTGTATGATGAATACTAACCATTACCCCGGGGGACAGTCCATAGTGTACGTGCAGGTGAGGGTGGCCATCGAGTCGGAAGAGATTCTGTGTTCGTCTAAAGAATCTTCAGTTTTCAAGGAGCTCGCTGAGGCCGACAAGTAAGTCCCAGAGATCAAAAAATAAGTTCCTGTGTGTAGAATCCAAGAAACGCGGGTTGGCTCATGGCTCTCAGAAGCTACGTATATGTGTTTTTCCTCTGGGGTCATCCGTTTCATGCCGTGTCCTGGCCTCTATTGATGATGTCAGTTGATTTGTGTTATTAATTATTGCTGAGATGTACCTCATGTTATGAACTATAAAATCGTGTTCTATATAATGTTGTAGAGTAGCTCGGTACTTGATCAACGTACAGTACATAGATGCATCCCCTGTTGGAATTAGTGAATAATATAACACATTATTATATTGTAGAGTGGAAGAATATTTGACCAAGGCAGAGATGATGTCGGAGTATGGATGGTGGCACTTCCTCATGACTCGCCCTCAAGACACTACTCCTGCCCGGGTCAGTGTCGGACTTACTGGCCTCATTCTCACTGTCGACAACAGGTCAGTACCCGTGTAAGACTTAACCCACCATAGTAAAGTAATATGAGTTAAAGAAACTTCACTAGGTGGTTCTGTTGTCCTCAGCGTCACCTCACCTCATGATCGGTCACGCCACTGTTACTTTTCTTTTCCTGTGTTGACAGAAAATTCGACTTCCCATTCTCAGAGGTGGATGAAGTGTGGGCCAGCGGCAAGAAACTGATGATCAAGTATGTGTGTAAGAACATCTCCACCACCACCTTCATGGGACCCAACAATAACTTTACCAAAGACTTTCAGTTCCTGGCTAATGCCCATCATCACCACTACCTCCATAGCGCCATCTGAACCACCACTGTATCTTTATAACTCCTGAATTATTAACACCAAATGTCTACACCATCATTAATCTGGCCGATGATGACATGACAAGAAATGTTGGTGTGTCACTATCCCCATTTGTGGGTCTCTATAATCCTCGCAATATAATTTAACCTTAATTGTAATGTGTGTACCTGTCGGTAAGAGCTGTCATAAAATCTTACTGCAGGCCGTGTCTAGGTTGGACAAAATATAAAGACATGGTAGACGGAAACGAGTCAATTTTACCACTGTAGAGCTTCTCAACAAGTGCTTTTTGCCAAATTTCATCTGTATTGGTTAACATGTGAGGGGGAACTGTATTTCTAAATATTTGTTTTATAGTATTTGACCTTTGAATGCCTAAAAGTCGAACTACAGCCAAAACAAAAAGGGTATTTGGGTGATGTGAAGAGAAGAAGAAATGGCGTATAAGTGTTACTTTGGGCAAAAGAACAATTAAGTCTCCAGCTATAGGGATGATCGAGACAAAGATATCAGCTAAAAATGTGATCAGAACAGTACTGTACTCACGTCCCACCAACGGTAAGTTACCCAGAATTAGTATTGCTGGTCTTTTTCTACGTTTTATTTTTATCCTCTTCACCACTGATCGGCTCGTTAGCCGCTTGGGCGATCGGTCACGTCTCTGTTACGCTCTGTTGGCAAGTACTAGGCATGCACCGGCTCCTGAATGTACCTGAACCTGCTCCAGTGTTGGTCAAGTTTGGTCTTGAAAGAGCTCACACTCGGTGCCGTCACAACACTTTCTGGTAGATTGTTCCAAGAGTTCACAACCCTCACTCCGAAAAAGTTTGTCCTCACAGTTTTCTGGACCTGCGGCTTCTTCAATCTTGAGCTGTGACCCCTTGTGGGGCGAGCGTCCGCCAGCTCCAAGTAAGGACACCCGACTAAGTAGTGCCCATTTGAGATGCTTATATACCTCATTTAGGTCGCCCCTTGCCCGTCTGTAGTATAAGCTAAACAAGTTCAGGCGCTCCAATCTCTCAGGGTAGTTGAGGTGCCGAAGCGCAGGCACCAGTCTGCACTGCCCGGTAGGGTGGCCATTTCCAAATTTCCAAAAAGGAGGACATTTTTTAAATTTTTACGACACTTATTTTTAACCTAAATTAAACATGTTTAATGATGGGTTGAAATATAAAAAAGTTGTATAAATATACAAAATATACTTGGAAGTGTTGATTTGTCAAATATCACTATAATGTAGTGAAGGCTATTTTGTGTTTTTTCTAAAATTTAATTTTTTTAAACGCACTGTATAGACCTATGTTACATGATACATGCATTCATACAGTATAAATAAAGAACTGAAATAAATGAATATTCATTTTTACTCCTGCTGGAACAACATACTGTATGCTAACCAAATTAACTTACTTCACAAACTAAGGGAAGTAGCCTACTCAATGTGGCCTTCAGTTCCCACTGTTTCACTAAACGTAAGGTAATTTGTATAATTCTTTTTAGACAGGCCCAAAAGAGAAGGACAAATTACCGTCTTGCTTGAGGTGGCGCAGGACAGAGTGCTCAAACGCAGGACTATCCTGCCTAAAGCAAGACGTCTGGCCAGCCTACAGTCCGGTGTCCCTCCTTTTCCACCCACTGACAGTCCCTTCTGTCTGTCCCTAGCATGAGCCTATCTCGGGGACCAGACTGGGTGGCTGTACTTCTTAATGAGTTTGAAAGTTTATCTTTTAAACCGATATTTAGTTATAGATAAATAAATAATTAGATGAATGCATACATAATTAAACGATTAAAGCATAGTAATAATCAGAACAAAATGGTTAACATTTAACAACCTACTGACATATTATTTGTGTACGTAATAGTTTACTCACCTGCCGCCAGGGAGACGTCAGGGATATTTTTTCCTATGATGATAGACGACATCAATATTGAATTGTGGTGTGTGTAATCTAAATAAAGCAAACTAAATCTTTTTTTATATTTATTTACTTTCTCATGTATGCAAAATATATTAATGGTTGATATGAAGAGTGAAGACGTAGTGTTTGTTTTATTGGTGCTGGCAGGTCGCGTCTAAATACCAAACAGACAATTTTAAATACCGAAATATTTTTCTTCTCGTACGTTATGATATTCATTTTAGTTATGACTATTAGAATCCACTTTTTGCTATTAATTTGCAAAAATCTAGCTCTACCTGTAGGATGTGGGGATTTATATATAAAAGTCCCTATTATTCCACAAGTCTAGCTGATTCTTTTGAGTAATATTGTACGCATGGGTAGTGACAATCGCACCTAATTTGATAATCATAAAGTATGGGAAAAGGCGAGTCAATTAAGATAACTTAAAGACAAGACTTATTCCTTCACGGGTTTGAGTTTATCCTGTGGAGGGAGTGGTGGTGGTGGCTGTCCTGGGAGACACAGGAGGTGGAGGCAAGATGTCGTCTGCAGCAAGCGGGTCACTGCAGGACCGAACCTTGAATAAAGTAGCTTTGTGCTCGGCCGTGTTTGCAGGATTCGCCTACGTTGGATATTCTTACGCTAAAACAGCTTTTTGCAGAAAGTTAGCGCGCAAACACGACCTCCGTAAGTAATGGATAAGGGAGATAATTGGTGGTAATAGAAGCGTCTTGAATGGGTGTGGATGTTCGGTGGGTCAAGTTTTACCGTACCAAGGCATGTAGGTTATTATATTAATCGTTTTAATAGTTTACAAGGTAATATGAATGTATTTACGCTTTGTGCTGAGGTTTAAGTAGTGTCAGTAATGTGGAATGAAGTGTTGTCACGCTCTGCCAGTTATTACGTTAGTGACATGATCGACCACAGTTCCTGCCCTCATGAACGATGATGGCATGATTATAACGCATTATTTGTTACAAGGCTCATAAGCAAAATAGTTAATACAGATCAGTACAACAGTCAGTCAGCACGAGGCAACATGAGGTACACTAGTGGGAGTGAACCGTAACTTCAGTGTTTTGGGTATGATTGATTTTATTGGGTATTCATCACCTGTACAATATAGGTATGAACAACATTTATAAGTAACACTTGATCATATATTGTAGTAAATGTAATACAAATCAGAGGATAAAAAAAAATCAAAACACTTATTTCCATTGTGGCCAACAGTTAAATTTACAAATATGCTACATTACCAGTCATGGCAAAATAGCCTGACAGGCTTTTTTTTGGGGGGCGCTATGTTTCCAACCTATTGTTTATCTAATAGAAGTAATGATATAATTGTATTTATTGTATTATACAGAGAAAAAACATATAACCCATAACTGAGATATCGTGAGTAAGATATCCCACCGTAGGGGTAGTGGACCTACATATAGTATTAAGAAACATTATTTTCTGTTCTTCTCCATTCTGGATGAAGATGTCAAGGAACCTGTCACGAGATAAGGCTTCTGGTTGATGCTTTAACTGTGAGCCTCTCAGCCATTAGGTCTGAGCTCCCTCCATGGTCTGTTATCCCAGGTAATACTTTCATTGGGTCATAATATTTGTCTTAAGTTTTCATCATTATATTTGACTCAAGTTAAAATTTTTGACTTTTGTAAGTTTACCATTCATCAGGTGACGAAGATGAGACAGAGGTATCGAGAGTGGTGTTCCGAAGGCTTTCTCAGACCACGCAGACAGATGCACTCCTCGGGAACTTGGACGTCAGTGGCACATCTGGGAAGCTCATCATACGCCCAAAGACAGTTCAGGTATGGAGTGCTGCTGGTTTGTCTATTATTATCAGAGCAACAGTATGGCTAGGTTAGGTTAGGTGAAGTAATAATATAGTACAGTAACTGTACACTGCCCCCCCTCTCCTAAAGCACAAGAGGGGGATGGGTTAGTCAATGGTTACTCCATTTGTATATCATGGCTGAACCACAAACCCTGAGATTCAGACGTCATGAATCCAAACCTTTTATGGACAGAATAATGCATTTGGGTTAACAAGTCTTAATCTCGTGGTTCGTGAAACAGCAGGAGAAGCGACAGGACTTTTGTGGGTAACTGTACACTGCCAGTCCTCCACCTTTCTGTCCCCAGATGTTGTATGTTGATGTGTTGATTATCTCATTTTATTTATTCCTAGCTTCTGACAGTTTTATTACAGTGAAAATTACGTGGATGTGTCTTATACGATTACTGTACTCTTTTCTTTAATGTTGTGCGAAACATTTATACACATCAGTACATAACAAGTGATGAATAGTGAGGAAGCCTGTGGTTGAGAGAATGGCATCATGGAGAGAGAGGGAGATACTGTAGCATAGGGATGTATGGATACATGTGTGATTCAATAATGACTCACTTGCCTTATAATAATACTGTATCTTTTACTTTGTCTTGACTTTTTGCTTGAGGATTTCTCGTTGTTTTGATATCTAAATACCTGTACAAGATTTATAAATAACTTAGTGTAAAATTACCTTTAAAGAGAACATTAAACACCTCTAGTTTGTATTGTTTTCAGGAGAGAATTCGTGAGTTGAACTTGAAGGCGCGTCAGTTTGCCGACACATTCATAGCAATCCAGACAGGCAATGGCCATGCAGGTCATACAGGTCATGCTGTCTCTCGCAACTCTGCTATCCATGACCCCAAGAGCTTACAGGTGAGAAATACTGTAGCTGACACAGAACTGTAAAGCATTACTGTTCTTGTGATATTGTAGTATTGTATGTGAGGAAAAGCTGACAGGTACACCAGCTTTTACTTTTGATGGGAAAAAATATTGAGAACATAAGCTTTATTGAAGGACAGTATGGGGGCCCTAGTGTAGCAGACTAATCAACAGGAGAAATACCCCGTTCAAGTCTACTGGACGGTGATGGCCAACTGGTGTACTACTTCTAAGGATCCTGTTTTGTTGTGCTCATTTGCCTCCAATTTAACTTTTTTATCTCCAGTGTTCACCTTGGAATTCCCCCCGCCTCTTGAGTCCTGTTGATGTGAGACACTTGATAACCTCCAGATCAACAGAGAACCTCACTCACATACCCCCAGATGGCTCACCCTGCAGGTAGGTCTTGCTGCCTCTCTACAGTAGTTATATCCTGTAGTGTACTGTACAGCCATTTCTGTTTACACTGATGATATATTTGAGTGGTGAGAGACAATGCTCAACCTTTTGTCTAGTTCCTCGTAGTACAGTATTGTACAGTACTTATCTGAACTTGTGTTTTTTATCTCTAAACTTTCCAACTACTTTTACTCCTCCACTAATGTTCCCTTAACATAAAGATCAGTGGGTAGCCCACTCCTAAACCTAACCTCACCTTACTGTACCCTGTACAGACCTAAGTGGGTGCGCAGAAGCTTACGTAAGAAAAAAACGGAGCAGAACAATGACCCGGATGGAAAGATGAGACAGAGAAGAGTGGAGGAAGAAGCAATGCAGCTGTACAACAGCACAAAACCTGAGTTAACACAGAGACTTGACACCCTCAGCAGTAGAGGCAGGTCAGTACAGCATAAATGATAGACTAAATTTACTAAAGTTGTGTTCAGTGATTTCTTGAACACAGTAAAGCCCCGAGTTTCGATGGTCTGACTTGTGATGATTCACATATACTGTACTGTAAACCTCTTATAAAATTAGGACTTTAGTGGCATGTAAGAAATTCTCTTCAAAATATAATGCATACACTGCCGTTTAGGATGGTGTACGTCATGCATTCCCAACCATATCACACTGCCCACCAGCAAGTGAGCTGCTGTTTTGAGGCATTTGTGGAAATTCTATAAAAAATAAGAGGAAAGAAGTGATCAAGTGGTGTTGGTATAAAGTCTAAAAGAAATTGTATTAGCAACAATGCACATTACAAGTACAGTAATGTATGAAAGTGCTCTGACAAGGTGAGCAGTCAATGGATGTTTCATGGGTGTTGGGAGTGGCGGAATCCATGGTAAAAACAATTTGCTCGATTGCTGATAAACAGGCCAACACTACAGTGTAGAAGAGTATACTGTACTGTAGTCTGTTGGGGCTTTAGGGTAATCTTGTGGTTGACATTGGTATAATAGTAAGTGCAGCTCACAGCAAGGCATTTTCTTACCTTAAATGGATACCGACAGTCTTTTACTAGATCGATTGCCTAATTTTGTAAATGCATATCACATAAACTGATGATATATTAATCTAGTTCCAATAATTCTCCATACACTGGAATGAACTTTTCTTGATGGAGACGTTGCATTTTTTTTCTGTTGTGTTAGTGCCCCACCACAGTAACTGGGGCAGCTTATAATAACATTGGTATTACTTTTATTTTTAATTAGAGTTTTCCTATTTTGTATTGTTTACTTGTTTCATTTCTTATTTTATAGTTTTTTTTTTTAGGTTAAGAGGAAATATGTTTGGGGAGTGGATGGTGAGTAGAGTCCACTATACTATACAGTCCTTATATTTAATTTATTCTTGTTTAAATTTCTGTCTTGTCTTCTCATTATCTTACTATGCACTGTTGTTCTTTATTTACTTGTAAAAACTTAGTTGTGAGTTCCACAACTACTGCCATTTAAGCGCTGTCCACACGTACACCACACGACAGCCATTGTGATTTCGTTCGCTGCTGTCCTAGCTACTCTATTTGGTGGTGTATTTCTCTTCCTTATTGTAACAGTATTAGTGTTCTTTATTCACTCTCATCTGTTTAAGTATTTATCTATGTATTTATGTAATATTTAATGCTTATACCTGTATGTTGGTTAAGTTTATGTACAGTACAGTATACAGTCTACTAATTTACCGCAGTTCTGAACAAAATGGCAACATTGATACAAAGGTGGTGGTAGCTATAGGTTACCATAGATTTTTTCCTGTAGTTTGAATTATTGGTTGGTTTGACTATTGTATGTACTTTTCTGAAGGTGTCCAAAATTATATTAAATAAGTGATCAATATGGAAATCATTCACTCTTACTCTGTTTTATGAAGAATGTTGAGTCTTGCAGGAAGTAACAGTTTTATTAACTTATGTACTCTACCAGGCAGCACTCTTGTACGTAACTGAGCGTGTGTGTGTTGCAGGGTGCTGACACCTTACGAGGCTAAGAGTCTGGTAGCGCTGTTATACTCGGAAGACAAGTCACTGGTAGAGAGGACCCTGGCCACCATTGCCAACTGTGCTGCCTTCAGTGTTAATTTGGTAAGTACTTATGTTGGTTTGTTAGTAAAAGACTATATTGTAACATCTCTTATGTCAATCTCAGTCTCACTCCATTCTCAACAAGTGGGTGGAACCTGATACCTTAACTTAGGTACTAATGGGTAGAGTCAGTTATCAGTTCAGAGGAAATAAAGCAGAGGGAACTCTTCTCGTTTGTTTGTACTGTACACTGTAATTTGTTGATGTTAATATAAACAACAAACTGGGCCAAGATTAGTATGGAGTTCATTATCATCCATTGCAGACACATGTGAAAAGAGTAATATTTTACTTAAATGTGGTGTATTGTCCTCTTTCCAGGATTTTTTGCGAGAAATGGGTTGTATTCATCGGTTGACGAGTTTGCTGGATGACACGGAAGTTCGGTTGCCAGCAGTCCAAACTCTGGGAAATGTAGTTTTATCAGAAGAAAACATTCGACAGGCCAAAGTAAGTGAACTAATTTTTATTATTTTGCTAATTATTAAGCTGATGAGCATCCCATCTGTTTTATGTACCTATATACTTGTCTGTAATCCACAAAGTTCTATGTTTACTCTCACCACTGCAAGGTTTTTAGCTAAGATGTTAAAGAATACCCGGGCTGGCTGCAAGTAGAATCTTGTGCGTTGTAAGAATGTCTTGTGGTATGAACACAACTAAACCAGCAACGATTACATATGGCAGGAAGCAGTTGTGTTAATGTGTCTGAGCAGCTTGTTATAGCCACTTCTTTGTGATAGTGTCCTGCTGATAAAGGAAGCTTCTCATGATGAATTTATTTTAGTTTAGTGATGTCTCCTATGTTTTCCAGGACTGCCTTCCCATCCTCATGGGGTTCGTTCAGAATAGTCACGCTGACGATGCTCTCCGCCTGGCTTCCTTGGTTGTCCTCACAAATATTGCTACCATTAGTGAGTGGCATGATGAGTACTGCCCACTACTACACAGGTAAGTTATCTAAGGTAAGATGGTTGTCCAGGAAGGGGCCGCTGTTTGTTTATACATAGACAGGAAGGTACGGGTAAAGATAAATACTGTAAAATGGCTGTGTTAGTTGGCAGCTTGTAGAAAACTTTATGTAGATTTTTCTGATTTGACTCATTAAGATCGTAACAAGTAATTTCTAAAACGTTTACTGTAAAACAAATATTAAGGATTATTATTTTTTGTTTGTTGGGCAGACTGTATCATCTTGTGGATAGCCCTAACCTCCACATCCAACTCCAGAGCTTAAGACTGTTAGTCAACCTGTCTTGCAACCGTGAGATGATCCCCTCTCTGCTGGCAGCTGAGGTAAACAGGTTGATGTCCTAGTTGCTCCACCCATAATGCTTGTTGTTCCTCATGTTTCATTCCTTGCTGTGCTATGGTAAGATAGTCATTTACAATTACTTTTTGGGGGTTACCTTGGACAGATGATTGTTTCTCACTGGCGTTTTAGGTCAGTTCGTTGGACATCAATATTATATGTAAATGGGGTTATCAGAGTACGCTGTACAGTAAAGAAGTCAAGCAATCAAGGCATTGTGTTTCTACCAGAGAACTGAGTCAAGAACAAGTGTAGATGGAGATAGATTTTGTTCATTCTGAGAATGAAGGGAATGGAGGTTGTAGTCTCATAGACATAGAGATATTTTGCACAATGAACAGATCTGAGGTGTCTTTCTTGTGGGCATTGAAGAAGTCCCTTGATGCCAGAAGTAATGTACAGTTCGTGAATGATTAATGTCATAAAAAAAATTATCATATTTTTTTCAGAGGTTGTTTTACATACCCTACAGTACTCTAAATTGTTTTTCTTTCTCTTTTATGTTTGATAGAAGAATACCAGTACCAGTAAGAGAGATAATGTTTGGTTAATTGTACAGAGAAGTGACAAAACAAGTGTATAGTGTTTTAGAAACCATGTCACAGATCAATCTTCACATACTAGAAGATGACACTGAGAAAGAGTGAATAAGATTCTTTTATTTTAGGGTCCAAGAAAACTGAGCTCATTAGTGGTATCAACGACCAACGAGGCAATTCTCTTGCGTGTGCTGACCTTGTTGGCCACCCTGGCAAATACAGTGTGCGAGGATGCTCTCAACCCAAGCCTTGACCTGCCCCCGGAAGACAAGGCAGCGGCACCCGACACCATGTGAGTGTGCTGGGTCTCTGTTCTGTACTGTATCTCACTTGCCAGCTTTGTTATGTAATCCCCAAAGTTATGTCTCATTTATAACCAAGTTTTTACCTCATTATATTTTTATAGTAATATAGTATAGAGAATGTTAATTTTTTAAGTAATTAATCCAAATTAAGATTGTACAGTATGCCTTGTTGTGTGATTATGGTGGGTAGCTCTTGACTCACCAGGAAAGTGTTAGTGTCTGTCTGGTTCTTAATATTGAATGTGTTCAGTTTCTACATCTCCACCAAAGTTATTGAATCAAAATCCTTTCCAAAGTTGTGAGATTAATTTACTTAACGCTTTTAAAGGTACAGTACCCAACCCTTTTCATATTGAAACAATCCCCAAATCTACATATCCTGTCAACTTTCACCTTCCCGGACACCCCCACCCATACACTCAACCCAGAGACTCACTGTATATGCTTAGCAATGATAGAACAAACCGTTAGTGCAATATTATTCACTCAAGGGGATGAGGTAACCCACTAGCTGCTAAATGCTAAACACTTGAAGATCAGCACCAGCTTAACCACGTGTCTAGAATGTTGTGAGTAATGCGGGGATATATTAAAGCTTTTGTATGGAGTCAAATACGGTTGATTGGTAGGTTGTCTACAGTGTTATAAGAGGAAAGGTTGAATTGAAGAGTTTCAGAGTAGTAATAGTAGACAGAGATGGGTTTAAAGTTTTAAAGCTGAAATTTGAGGTGATGGAAGATAAAGTTGTCTTTCCTGTTCATACAAATGTTGGTTGTAAACTAAAAGGTTTTGTGTGTGTGTGTGTCTGTGGTGGAGACCCAGATGTCAAATAGTGTAAAGCATGTGTTTGGTATTCCCCAGTGTGGCTCACCTCAGGTTATGAAAGGAAGGTTTTACAATGTTCTAATTTGTCCTTTTTATTATTTCTTTCCCTTTTATAGCAACTCACTTTTGTGTAGTACAAGCTGGAGACGGGGGGAGTACTGTATTTGCATCTCCTAAATGCAGAATTATTTTGCTGTAGCTAAACCGTTGTATGTAGTAGTTTTTTTTTTTGTAGTGATGATGAGCATGACGAGCTGTTTTAAACGAGATTGAATATGGATGCCCCATTTATGTGTGTGTGATGCAAATAGTCTTCTTGATAAGTAGATGAATTTTAAAGCAATTGAGACATAACTTTGAGTATGGTAGGGATATTATTATACTTTATCGTGAATATTTAACTTCAAGTGTACCCGGTAGCTGTGCTCATTTTGATTAGTCTCACTTATCAGTTATGTATGTACAGTAGCTAGTTATTGTACGTGTGGTTGTCATTAGTGTTGTGTTTTAAATTATTATGTAACTGTATGGTATTTGTGCTTCTCTGATTTCAGGCTAGTACTTGTTGGCTTTGTGTTCGAACCTTTTCCCTGTCTCGTTATCAAGAGACGTCACTTCAGTCTAGATAAAAAATAAAAAAAAAATAAAAAAAAATAAATAAAAATAAATAAATAAAAAACAGAGCCTATATGTAGGAAATTTGTGTTCATTTATGTATTTCTTGTACGTTGCATGGAACCCAGGCAGGTAACATAGTAGTGTGATGGTCATATTGTCACCAGATGTAATATGTTTTGTGTGATGTAGTGCTGCTCTAAATGTATGAATTAACTGAGACACTTTCAACATTTTCTCCTCCTATTTTTAAACAGTCCTTGTAGAATGTGGAGATATTATGTGGTTTTAGTAGATCACTGAAGGGGTAGTTTTATGTTATTTACCATATCACTGAAGGGGCAACTGTTGAGTTATGTTGTCATATCCTAAAGGCTCTCACACATTACAATTTCACTAAGGTCTACCAGCCAACACCCGAGGCTGATGGCCGAGCGGTGTGTATTTCTCTATCCATCAGTTTTGAGCTTTGTGACATCAGTGTGGCCAGTGGTGGAGTAGATTCATACCCACCAGGTATTAATTTGTGTCTCGAGCAAAGAAAATAATCGTGTGTGTAAAATATTTGCTCTTGTGTGTTAGTACCTTAAGTTAACTAGGTCTTGCTGCCAGGGGAAGATATCATTTCTATTCTCTCTTATTCATTTTTGGTATATACTTTCAGCTTTGATTTATTTTCAGCTATGTAGGATAATGACAGCACAAAATACCTTATAAGAAATAATACCTGTATGACTAAAGAGTCTCTGGGGTACCATTAAGAATGTTGTATTGCGAGAGAGAAGTTGAAGTGTCGTGGATTATTTTTATTTATTTATTTATTTTTTTTTGGAGGGGGAGGTTATTCTGGTGTAAGATGACTGGCCAGTGGGAGGAATGAGGATATAGAGGAATAAATGGAATATAGTAAAGGTGTGTTAAAGAAAGCAAAGGTCATAGATGCAACCCACAGTGGCAGATGAAATGTTGTGTTGGTGTGGGCTCTTGGCAAGGTGTGATGAAAATGGGCTCCACACACACACACACACACACACACTTGAGTGAGGAGAGAGAGAGAGAGAGGCAACTGAATAAAAGAGAGGTAGATAGATATAGGGAAGAGGTACATAAGAATGGAGGAAACTGCAATGGGCCTATTGACCCATACTGGACAGTCCCATTTACACCCAACCCCTATTGCTCATATATCCATCCAACCTATGTTTGAAGCTATCCAGCATATTCGAGTTAATGATGATATTTGGTAACTTGTTCTATTCATCCACTACTCTATTTCCAAACCAAATGTTTACCTATTTCGCGCCTAAATCTAAATTTGTCTAATTTAAAGCCATTGTTATTAGTTCACTCCTGGTTGGATAGTTTGAGTGGTTAGGAGTAAGTGGATGAGAAGAGTGTAAGTTCAGAGTAAGTGGATGGGAGTAATGTCGTGTTAATTTATAAGTAGGTGATATAGAAATACCATAGATGGTGCTTGGGTGAATGGGAGACAACCTGAATAATGAAATAGGAAGGTAGGTGGAAGGGTAGACACAGAAAAGATCTCATGAATGTGTTTGGGAATAAGGCAGGCTAGGTGGGTGATGTTTTAGATTGAATGACATGAACAGTTTCTTGTATGTGTTCTGTCCCTTATAGCAGGATCTGAGACGTCACATGAGCTCAAATAGAAACATTGATTGATTGAATAGATAGATGGATGGTGTAAGGATTTATTGATTGGAATGAGACTTGGTGCAAGATTGGAATGAGACTTGGTGCAAGATTGGAATGATTTTCTTACTGTGCTTAAGTTTACAATCCTCCTTTGGAACAGTGCGAGATTGTAGACTCTGCCTTTATCCATCCATTGTATATTCTTTACCTGCTTGTTGATCTGTTCAGCTGCCATGTAGAAGTGGCTGTTTAGATTTCCTCAATAATGCTACATTACTGTACTCAGGACTTCATACCACTTAAATTAATTTCACTTTTCTTTTTAAAAATCAACCAATCTTGTATGGATGAGGGGTTCATTTTCATGATGGTTATGTTTCCTAGAGGAATATTTTCACATGCCATCACTAGTCAGCAGGATAGTTTGTGAGATGCATACTTGTGTGTTTGATGACAGATTTTGATTGTGTCATTTTAAGGATAATTTGCATATATCATCCTAAGTTTGTAGAAGTTAGCATGATAGAAGAGATATTATTTTATTTACTGAACTTTGCATGACTTCTTACTACTGTACCTAAGATAGGCCATATCCTACCGTTACCTCTTTATTCAGTTCATCTTTTCCTGCTATACTGTATACCTAGCTAGGTGACTCGTGCAGAACCTCATCCAGACAGTGTAGTCTGTGCACCCACAGATTCTTCAACATTTACAGAAACTTTTGCAAAAGTACTTTGCTTATGGTAAGCAATAGTAATGATAATTGTGTAACATTTATAACATGTAAATTTTGTCCACTTTGTCCTGTACTGCAAATCCACACAGTTTGCACTGTGAACCTGTCGCATTGCTGATGCATGACTGTATGTTGCAGACACGCTGATGCTTCCCCCACAAGCATGCGAGGCGACAGGTGAGTTGCAACACGTGTTCCTATCCGTAAGACCACTCTTGCTTCCCTCTACTGGCAGTGGAAGTCTCGCTCACGTAAAGTATGACAATTAGGTGAATATTTGGTTGGAGACACAAGTGCTGTACATACTCAGTGCATCAAAATGTTCTCTTAACTAAATTTTTACACAATAAAAGTAAATCTGGGATTATTGAGGCAAATTTTCAAATATTCCTTGCATGGGTCACCTGTATATAGAACTTATCAGTCGGAATGAATGTTGACTATGAAGACATGTACAGTATTGTTAGTGAAGTACTGGAGGACAGTCTGTATGACCCAGTCTGTTGTGAGTTTTGGAAATGGTGCAATTGGTGGAGTGACTGAAAATTTAACAAAATGTGTATGTAGCAAGTCAGTAGAGTGGATGAGCAGGTCATACAGATGCAGTGATGCTGGCTGGTGTATTTATGAGGGAGCTTCACGACTTTGTGCACTAGACTGCAGACACCAGGTAGCTAGCAGATGTACAGTATAAGCAAGTACTGTAGTTTATTTACAAGAGAGAACTGTTTATATCCTCCCACACTCCTACAAGACCATTAGATAAGGTCTCACACTTAAGGAAGTAAATTACACAATTGTGAACTCTAAATTTATATTAATTAGTGATTTTGTATGTTGCATATATTATCGTAGATTGTAACTGGTAAACAGAGATAGATAATTTTCAATATTTTGTCAAGTACACTACACCTGCATATAGAAAATGGTCTTAAAAAACAAACAGAAGAATTACAGATATAGACACTCCACACCTGGTGAGTTTTTCGGTTGAGTTTGGTTGGTTAGTTTTGCACTGATCAGTGGTTTTAGGAGGCAGCTTTGAGTCTTTTTATATGTATCCTGTTATCTTCTCTGCATTCACACTAGAGTGGTCCATGTGCAGTAACTCTGACACACAGAACATACATGATCAGTACAGTTTTATATACAGTACAGTACTTATAGGTAATCTTGCTGACACATCACTTCCTAAAACAATGTAAGTCTAGTCATTAAACCAATTGTCTCTCACTTCTCTACTTAAAATTATGCAGTGTGCCAATTCTCTAACACTTCTTGATATTTTGTCTTCTGTTTCTACACCCTCAGTATATTTAGTACTTGCAGGCTCCATTACAGTACTTGCAGGCTCCTCTACTTCCTGATCTCATGCAACAACTGTATTTCATGTTCCAATTTTATTCTCAGCATAGCTGTACAACAGGCATGGGCCGCATGTGGCCCGGAACATGTGTTTGTGCAGCCCGTGCAGTTATTGAGAAATTCTATTTAATGTGATTCGCGATTCGGGTAGATGCAGCCATTTTATGGTGAGTAAAGCAATATTTATTAAAGGAATAATCATCACACGCAATTCGTTTCTGTTTCATTACCTAAGAGTAAGTAATTACGAAAATGTAATGGTGAAATAAGCATATATAGTCTTCAACACTATAAACATTTTAACTTTGTTTTAGTTTACGGGTCAAGTTTGACAGTTTCTGTTTGATGAATTAACTGCTATGTGGCAGTGGGTCACTTGGGAATTAACTAAGGTTGGGTAAGTCTAAGTGCAAGGGCAGATCTGGGGGGAGGGGGGGGTGTCCTGGGGGTCTGGACCTCCCCCTTTTCTTCAGAAAATTGCAATACTTTTTCTTTAATGCAGTACAGTATTGTACTCAGACATTTTTGTATAGTAAAAAGTAATTACTATTGATCTTAGAATATCTCCTAATATCAAGTGCACATAGCTGGGAGGCCACTAATTACCACGCAATCAAATCGTGGACCATAGATTCGGAATCAGGAGTACCTATATTAAGATGTAGTTCCTCATATGCCAATATTAACATTGGCATTATTCTGGTGGGTGTGTCTCATAAGTAAGAAAAATCCTGTAACTATAGGAAAATCGACATATTCACAGACTGCTTCACTCATCTTCTGTTAAATGCCAAGAAACATAAACATTTTTACTTCTATCCTCTTCTCCACTGATCGGCTTGTTAGTCGCTTGGGCGATCAGTCACATCTCTGTTACTCACTGTTGGCAAGTACTAGGCATGCACCGGCTCCTGAATGTACCTGAACCTGCTCCAGTGTCACAACACTTTCTGGCAGATAGTTCCAAGAGTTCACAACTCTCACTCCGAAAAAGTTTGCCCTCACAGTTTTCTGGACCTGCGGCTTCTTCAACTTTGAGCTGTGACCCCTTATGAGGAGAGTGTCTGCCAGCTCCAGGCAAGGACACTCAACTGAGTAGTGCCCCTTGAGATGCTTATACACCTCAAATAGGTCGCCCCTTGCCCGCCTGTAGTATAAGCTAGGCAAGTTCAAGCGCTCCAATCTCTCAGGGTAGTTGAGGTGCTGAAGTGCAGGCACCAGTCTGGTGGCCCTCATTTGAACATTTTCAATCAACTGACAGTCCCTAGTATATCTCGGGGACCAGACGGGGTGACAGTACTCCAGATGGGGAAGCGCTTCACTCTGAAGATCATTACGAGGGACAGACCGTCTAGATATCTGAACAACCTACTTATAAGACCTAATAATTTATTTGCTTGATTTACCTTCTTCTTGCAATGGCCTGAGAACTTCAGCTCATTGTCAACATACACACCTAGGTCCTTCTCACATTCAATCTCAAAGAGTGCAGTTTCTTCATCCCGTTGGGACATATGATATGTCTCCTTACCGTTGGTACGCCCCAGGCGCATCCTCTTACACTTCGTGACATTGAATCTGAACAGCCATTTCTTCGATCATTCTTGGAGCTCACAGAGATCCTTCTGCAGCTCTTCACAGTCCGCTTGGTTCTTGATTTCCCGAAATAACTTGGCGTCATCCGCAAACATTTGTGTGGAGGAGTGTACAGCGTCAGGCATGTCATTTATGGAACAAACAAATAACAGCGGGCCCAATACACTTCCCTGTGGTAACCCGCTTGTGACAGGTACAGATGATGATTATGTGCCATTAACCACCACACACTGCTTGTGGTCATGTAGAAAGTCTTCTATCCATGCTAGGACTTTTCCCCGAATTCCGTACCCTTCCAGTTTGATTTTCAGCCTTTCATGGGGTACACTGTCGAAAGCCTTGGCAAAATCTAGGTATATATTGTATTGTCGATATTATCACCCCGTTCAGAATATGGGTCTAAATATCCAATACCTTAAGCAGTTGTGTTAAGCAGGAGCGCCCCGACATAAAATCATGTTGGCAATCCTTTACAAGGTTGTTTCGTAGTAGCTGCTCCATCGCGGCATCTCTGATAATACTCTCAAGTACTTTACATACTATGCTGGTCAGACTCGCCAGTCTATAGTTGTTCGTGGAGTGATGATCGCCCTTCTTGAAGATAGGACTTGCATAAAGCCATTTTCCGTTCACTGGGGACCCTCTGTTCTTCCAGGCATTTACAGAACAGGATCTTCAGGGGCTTGGCAAGCTCGTTGCTCAACTCTCTTAGCACTCTGGGATGCACCATGTCACTTAAAAAATTATTATGATAGATTTGTTTCATAAATGGGAAAAAGATTGTGATTGTAAACTGAAAATATTGTTAGGTGGACGTGACGATAAACTGCTTCACTGTCCATGCTAATACAATATTAACAATACTTTTGGGTTAAGTAGAATATAAATTTTGGTGGGTTAGTCCGCAGAAAAATGCCTAAATTGTAATGTGGCCCATGACTGAGGAGAGGTTGCCCATGCCTGCTGTACAATATTCCCAGATTAACTTTGTCACCTATGCAATTATAAGTTGATTTATATTTCAGTCACTGTAACAAGTGATACCTGTTGATCATTGCACGTGTGCCCACAGGTATGCTCGTCTGTTTGGAGTCAATGTGCGAGATCGTCTGCTGGCACAAACACAAGCTTTAATTGATGATCAAGAGGACCCAGAAATTCAGCGACAAGCCACCAGACTGTACAGGGCACTTAAGGACTAAGTTATTAACTTTTATTTATCATTTCTGTTTAATATAACATTTTGATGGACTTGTGAGAGATGCATTCCATGTATAGATTTGTCATATTTTTTGCTATTGAATTTTTTTTCTCTTAATGTCTGCACTCAATTTGAAATAACCTACCAATAATTAATATCTTTATAAATTTGGATTTAGTGGTAGAATTAAAAAATAAAAAGAAATAGTCACTGTTAATTATAACTTATTTGTAAAACTAGTGAAGACTTTAGTTTGTATTGAACAGTGAATTGATGGTGTGTGGAGGGAGAGTAAAACTTGATCTCATAGTTGGACTCCTGGGAAATCAGGCAGTAAATCATATTTTTAGAACAAATCAGTATAGGACTTTGTATACCAGATATGTGGAACGTGTTCATTGTATGTGGTGGTAGACTTATTTATATTTTTTTTTATTTGTACTTATAAAAGTTCAGTGTTTGTGTGTTGTCACTGAGATGGATGGTGCCACTTCCTTATCCTTGGCTTAAGGAAGGATTCATGAGAAGTCTTGTGTGCACAGATGTAGAATTTATTTTCCATGAAGGATTCCACTAGGGCTTTGATGTCAGAGAGTATTATAAGAGTTTCACAACCAACTCGTCGACGGTGTACAGTAACCTTACATGCCTCAATGCTTTGTAATGGTCCTATATATGTATATGCTACTTAAGATGTGAAGCAGTGCCTTGCTAACACAGGACTGTGGAGAAGTGGCAGCTTCATAACCTACTGCCAGAGTTGATTAGGTCTTCTTACTCAGAGTTTCGGTAGCAGCTCATGATGATGATGAAACTATACATGGTTCAGAGAAGCTTCAACTCTCCGGGTATCCTTCTGACATACCACATTCTGGGTCAGCATGTATTTTAAATGCTCATATCTCTATGGATTTGCTGGTAACGTGTTTGCCAGGTATCAAATCAAAGAAAGCATTTAAGAAACTTCACTCTACAAACATATTGCTAATGTTGTTGATAAAGCTTGGCAAAGAATTAGCAGAGGATTGCATGAGCTTTCCATGTAAATTATGAAATCAATATTAAGTGTCGGTACAGCCTAAAATATCATATTTAACATGTATTTTGCAGTACAGTGGTTGTGTGTGCCAATGCAGGTTTAGAGATGATGATAAACTTTGGCTTCAGTTCTTTTTCACATTACTACAGCTCCTGACCGTCTACTGTGTGTTGTAAGAGGAATATGTTGGAAGATGCTCTTGTTGTGTGATCCCTCTGTTGTTATAAGTTTAGTCAACACAAGAACTCCATGTGGGCCATATAAGCACTGACTCAGATGTGAGGGTTTCTCTACGTGCTATTCGAGTTAAATCTGGTTGCTAATTTTACAATTTGTAAATACAGTACTTCTCTTGTACTGTATAAGTAACTTATGATACGTTTAGTCTGCGAGGACTTCTCTATGTGCTACTGTATGTTAGTAGAGTTTTAGGTTAGAGGTGTCATTGTGAGGACCCCTCGTGTGTTATGTGAGTTAAGTCCCAGATGATAAGTTTATCAACAATGATCCAAGGTGGGGATGAATTTATATTGATTAATTTTGGTGTGGACTCTGAAAAGCTTATTCCTAAGTCTTGGTGAAGCAAGGCACTAATGTTTGTCTACTAGACTAGTGAATATAAGACCCATTATACACATTGCAAGCTGCAGGCTCTGTGTGCTGTGCCCTCATCTCCACTTATTGTGTATATTTCTCATGCTGGTACTTGCAGCTCTATGTATACTAAGTCTACCTATACAAGGCGCTATGTATAATTCTAATGTATACTGCACATTGCCAAGATTGACAGTATCAGTCACTGGTAACAATCTCACTAATCACATTGTAAATGCTCCTGAAATATTAGACATTAAGAAGCTTCAATAATGGTGGTGGTAACAAGCCTACGACAAGACTCCAGCACCATTGTGCCTCAGCCCTGCCACGCTCTGGTATTGTTTAATGACCCATAGGTTTTTTCCTACCTCAATAAGGAATTGCTCTAAACTGCTCTAGTCCTGACTTTTGTGCCAATAACTTTTATCTGTATTTATTTACTTTTTTTCATACAGTCAGTAACACTATCATAAAGACATAACCAGCCAACAGACATAGCCAAAGCCTGCATGAGCCAACATTCATGGCTGACTGTTAAATTTAAGCAAATAGTCGACCACTTAGTGACACCCGGAGACAACATCTCACAGTCAAGGCCATCATCTGAGAAAAACAGATCACAGCTGATTATCTGAGATAACTTTATGACAGCTAATGACAATATTTGATAGTTTAATAACATTTGATAATCATATATGATATCTGACAACTCTAACCAATATGTGACAGACTCGGACACCATCTGACAGGTATAAGACTTTGATAATATCTGTTAGTTTTAACTGACATATGAGAGTTACAGATTTCATCTGATACACAAACACTTCTCTGACAGAGACAGAAGTCATCTGACAGCCATACCTAATGTTAATAACTGCAAGAATCACTTAAAGGCACATAACCATTGACATTATACTGTACAAGTTTGAACTAAAATTGGACATCCATATACAAGTATGACAAAAAATGTTTGGACTATCATTTTTCTTCTGCAACACAATACTAGACAGCTTTGACTAATATTTGACAGCCACAACAGAGTAAATAGCTGTGACTAAAGGCAGCGGCACACGGAGCACTTTTTCTCCCAACTTGTTGGGCAAACACGGTCCGGCCAGCAAAACAAAGATACATTTGCATCACACTGGGATGTTTTGTTGGCGCATCTGCCCAATACAACGAAAACAATAGCAAGGCGTCTAGACGAGGTTTGCCATGGAACCAGTTACTACTGTTGTGGCCTTGCAGGATTGTGCTATAGTTCTTCAATTGCTGAAGCAAGTGAGGCGTCTGCAAAGATAAAGAAATGACAATGGGTGCGTCATGAAGTTTGTTTACAAATGGTGGTGGCTGGCTGGTCAAAGAAGACCCTAAATAATGATTTAATAATACTAAAGAAATTTTAAAGTGACGAATAAATAGAAACATGTCACCGTTTTATGTGTTATATTTTAAATTACAGTACAGTACAGTATTAGTGTTTCATGATTTATTTAATTTTTTACTTGAATATTCAACACCTCTTATAAAACTCATTTGAGCACTAACCCAGCCAGCAAAGCTTGCCACCAAACTGTTGTCCATTTCTCGCAACAGCCGAAATCCTGCTTCTTGCTGGGCCATTGGGCCAGCGGCCAGCAAAATGGGCAACATGTTTGGAGGAAAGTTCCCAGTGTGCTGCCACCTTAAAATGTCATCACCAGATAACATTTGATAGATCTAAAATATCACAGCTGCATAGAACATTTCATATTCGGTACGTGTGTTTGACTAACAGTACACTGCCACAGACGACATTCAATCGACTGACTATCAATTTGACTGACAAGAACAGTGCTTGACAATCTGAGTTGCTGATCAACCTTAGATGTATTTTAGCTGTTATATCAAACATTTAGTATTGCCAGACAACTTGGAGGCACCCATATCCACGCTCTTTTACAATAGATAGTTTCTTCTGTAAAACTTAATTGAAGTTACCAACAAACTTTCTGTAGTACAGTATTAACATTTACGCTTCTGCTTCTAGTCCATATTGGAAGACATTCCCCAGTGGAATGTGAAAGCTGTTGTTTCTTCCCCTCAGCTTGTCTGATGCTCATCTGTCACACATGAACCCCCTCATTTGTGTTCACGATTGCTATTTTATAATTTAACTGAGTTTTATTTTGTATGTAATTCAAATGCTTCTTTGAAAATATCCCAGGAGAGAGACCATCATTGTCATATGCCCTAAATATGGTGGTGCGGCTGTTAGGTAGTTATTTTTCCAACCATACCCTGGTCCTTCAGTTTCCAGAGGGAAGAGTACTGTACCCCAAACATATGGATGCACAAGTGGTAAGCCAGAGAGATCAAAGGATTTGTGACCATTTTCAGTTGTCAATCTACTGTAGAAAATAACACTACCAGGAGTTAACTAGCCTTATCATGGCCTAGACTTGGAGGCAGGGGCATGGCCCCTTCCAGTTTGTATATTAAAGGGGCTGTGATGTTTTTAGTTCAAAGTACGTAAGGCTAGTTTTGGCAGCCTGGCTGTAGGTCTGAAACCAAGTGAACATTACACAGAAAACTTAAGAAATGGTAACCCTTTTCCTTCATCCATTATTTTTTTGGATGTGATTGCCAAGGGTAATTAGGTATCAGATTGATTTCCATTTCAACCTTCCATGAGGAATTCTTATCTACCACACTACTTTGTAAAGTAGATGTAGCAACAGAGGTGAGTGGAAATTATGGATGGGGAAATTGAAGTTAGTTTAGGCTGATCGTGTGTGGAGATATTTCATCAAGAGTGTTTATATCCTTCCAAACATAGGTTGGATGTATATGTGAGCAATTGGGGTTGGGTGTAAATGGGACTGCCCAATATGGGCCAATAGGCCTGCTGCAGTTTCCTCCATTCTTATGTTCTTAACATTCTCCATCATATTTGACTTGTATATGCATCACATCAAATCACAACTGCTCAGTCATTTCTGATGCTTATACATGTCAAATTCAGGTGTGTGGAAAGCCTGCCAGTGCGAAACATTTATCTTCTTCTAAGACTCACAAAATTATATTAAGACTAATTGTTTGTACAGGTTGGATATCCCTGTCCAAAATTCCCCAGTGCGAAGTGCTCTGAAATCCGAAAGTATTTCTTTATACCTGTATTTATGGTAAGTATGGGTAAGTGTGTATGTGTAATGAATAAAGTTAAACACAGGCTGCTTAGCACTTCTGAGTCAGGCATCATGGTTGTGCCAAACAGACGGTAGTGATTGCCTACCTTTCCGTGTTTTTAGTGTACATATTATCATATATTTTATAACTAAAATGATTCAATTATATTTCATAAAACTACCTGCAGAATATATGTATCCATATACTGTAAATGAAGTATAAATGAATTTTGAGCATAGACTTAGGCCCCATCCTTGCTAAGTGAGCTACCGCAATATACAGGTTCTGTATACAGGATATAGGTATTCCAAAATTCGAGACCCTAAAGGCCCCAAGCATTTCAAATAAGGGATACCGAACCTGTACCTTTTTCTACAATAGTTTTAATCTCGGTATTTTTGCCTTATGCGTCATGGCCAGGCAGAAGACAAGCAATTAGTTCAGTTTCCCAGACATGTCTAAACAGTGGACAGAACTGGCAGGATAGGAGGCCTAAAAGCTAGTTGATTCCTGGTATGCCAATTTTTGTGATTGATTGCTTAGAAAATGGTCAAG